GATGGTATAGATTTGAGTTGTGTGGCTTGGAAAGATAATAAAATAGTAACCCTGCTATCTTCTTATGCTGGAGCATTACCTGTAACTAAAGTCAATAGATATGACAGGACAATAAAAGAAAAAATTGATATTACTTGCCCGTTTATTGTCCAAGAGTACAATAAACATATGGGAGGAGTAGATCTCATGGATAGCTTTTTGGGCAGAAACCATATAACAATAAGGTCTAAAAAGTGGTACTTGCGTATATTTTATCATTTATTAGATCTAGCTATTATAAACTCTTGGATTATATATAAAAAAAATGCTCAAGAAAGAGGTGAACCCAAAAAGAGTTTACTTACAATGGGCCAATTCAGAAATGAATTGGCCTTTGTGCTATGCAATAGAGGACCCACCAAAGACGCCAAAAGAGGTCGTCCTAGTACCAGTTCACTAGAAGAGGAATTACTATCAAAAAAAAGAAAAGGTTCTCCAGCACCACCACCTCCAAAAGACATAAGAAAAGATGGTGCTGAACATTGGCCAACAGTAGGTGGGTCACTCCGGTGCAAATTTCCCAAATGCAAAGGCTATTCCACAATTTCGTGTAGTAAATGTGGCGTCAATTTATGTTTAAATAAAAATAATAATTGTTTTTTAAATTATCATAAAGAATAAAGAAGATTGAGTAAATAATATTTTTTTATTTATTTAGTACTGAGCCAAATATGTGACAATGCATGATGATGTAAATTTCCATCATATTGTTTTTTACATAATACATATTTTTATTTACATTAGGATTTTTTTTAATATTTTTCCTTTAATCTAGAGCATTAATTACATCACCCTGATTTATTTAAAAAAAATAGCAAAAACCATGCAAAGAAGGGTTAAACTGACTTCATCTATACATACTATAGCCTGCCAAAGTCTTATTTGAAGGAATGAACTTTGAAGACACCCTTAATAACATATTTTCCATAACCCAAAATTATAAGATACTAAGATGAAATTTACATTACTTACCCGTGAATTGGTAATTTAGATAATAATGTAATTGCGAGATTGTACATCTTTACATTTCACACCAGTTTTGGAATAGTCATCATTGCGACTTTCTTACAGAACTCTCCAATGAACTTAGGGATTTATGAAATGTCTAAATTAATACTTAAAGTAAGTGTTTATTGGAATTTAAAGTGTTCTTTCAGTGTCCAAAAAGCTTTGAGAAATACACCAAGTACCTAATAAGTGTGATAATACCTGTCATATATTGATACTTTGACGCTTTATGTACAGCTTCTTATGGAGCGTCGAATGTAAAAAGTATACATTTTTTCGAACACTCGTCTTCAATTTGGCTATTAGATCGTTAAGATAGTATAGTCCATAAATAAAAGTACTACGATACATCCCTTATGGAAATTACACTCAGTAAATAGTGACTAACATATAAACCTATTTTAAATACTGGACTGTTTCGTCACTCCCTTTCAAATGAACAGAATAAGCTTAAGAGCAAAGGACAAAACAGTTCAAATTAAAATAGGTTTATAAGACATTTGAGCTAAAGATTTTCATAATAGAAACTGCAATAAAGGTAGCGTTACATGTTAATTAATATCTGAATAAAATTACATAATTTATAAGATAGTACGAATCATAATCTAATTAGTTCATAGTTACATGAAATGTATATGATTCATTAATCTGATTGACCGTGCGGAGATAAATTCATCGTAGATAATATTAAAATTACTGCATAATGTATATAAAGCACATATTAATAATGACATGATCACGACTATGTAGATGGCGAAGCAATGAGAATGCATGCATAGAAACAAAGACTAGACTGATGTAATTGACTGATTTGTGATGAAGCAATATTATTTATTAGAAAAGAAAATTAAATTATCCTTTATTTTAAAAACCCATGGTCTATATCGTTTGCAAAATCTTGATACTTTGCTGTAAAAATTGCGTTGCTATAAACGTGTCTTATGTATCTGTAGTTTATTGCAAATTATAATAAAATACGATCAGGTACAACGATAAAGAAATATTATTACGGGTGTATATTGTAATGTATGATTATACAAGTGATATCTGCATATTGCAGCGGAAATGACGTAGTCGATCTTCCATAAAACATCAATATATTTATAAACTGGATACGATCAATATAATAATGAGAGTAGCGCCCTCTGATGTTTGCTTCTAATGTTAAAAAGGAGTGTAAGGTCGTCAACGGTATTTTTTTAATCAGTCCAATGTCCATTAGATGATCAAAAAAAGATTACTCAGCGTCATCAACGAAGTTCAGAGTTGCCAGTATTTTCTTGTTGTTAAAATTATAAAACACTTGATTTAGTTTTTGACTATTTTAATTTAACAGCTTACAAATACGCATTTGTAAGCTGTTAAATTAAAATATTATAAATATTAATATGTTTGTATATTTCATTATTATCTATATTTTATATAAAACAATCTCTGAACCTTGCAACTTTATTCAAGACTGATGAATAGCTTATTTGATAATGTAATGGAACTAAACATGATGGATGATAAACAACAATATTAAAAATGTGCTAATTAAATGGGGTAATTTATTCATAATTTATCAAGAACTCGAAGAGTATTTTTAACCTATTTTAAATTGTTTTAGATTTCTATTTTAATTTGATTTTCTCTTTAGATGGTAAAGTGTAATGGTATATTTAGGCAAAGGTCGCTGTGTGCCAAATGTAAAAAAATAACATATTTACGAAATAGGAAGCAAATACAAATTAATATCCGTAATATGAGTGTATTTATATAATAAAATATAGATTAGATCGTAAGTGATATTATGATAAAATATAGGTATTGTAATTATTAAATATAATATGAATACATAAATTTTTGCTGTATTTAGGAGCGTCTTCCATCTTACTAGTATTGTTTTCTCTTAGATTATCACCGCTGAGGAGAAAAGTGCATGCGTTTTTTTTTTATAACACTGGCTGATGTTGTCTTATCTTAGCGACCAGACAAACCAGTTGAAATAATCGTTAAGTTTTCCGATATGTTCTAATTCGTTGCATGATTGCCACCACAACGTTCCTAAAATCTCTCACAGAAATATTGTGGGATCACCAAATATCAAATAAAATCCCTTTTCCTCATCTATATATCTGAGTAATAAGCTATAAAGACAAGCGATCGGTGTGTGAAAGTGAGAATGGATGTGAGAAAAAGAAGTAAGTGATATAGGAGTTTGGAAGAATAAAGTGTATCTGAGGACGTATGGTAAGAACGAAGTTTTGAAGGGTTTGTTGTATCGGCATATCATGCGGAGGAATCTAATGGTGTCTTATAGAGGTAGAATATAAACGTGGATAGATGTGGAGAAGGAATGACCAAAGAAAAGGTGAAGACAGTTTGAGCGACGTAAGAGAAGAGTAAATGCTCTGATCCTAGTAGCGGTCAAAAAGATAAAGAAGAACGTTCATAATCTTTTCTCCTCGGTTGTGGAAACCAGCCTTTCTTTTGGTGGTATAAGTAGATAAAAATTTACAGCAATAATTAGTACCTAATCGTAGTACGTTGCTGGTAGATGCTATATAATACAATTATGTGTGATAACTTGCTATTTATTTATTAAGTGCTAAAGTGTTTCATTATATTCATAAACATCATCAGAAACTTTTTAAATGGTTGTCATGAGAATTTCGAAATAATGATATATGTTTATGGATATAAAATAGCTTAATTTTTAAGTTTTTCAACTATGATATTAAAATTGTTGCGGCTTATTGTCAAAATCAATCAAATATTTTCATGAATTAATTTATTTTTAGGTATAATGAACTGTTATTTAATTTCGTGTTCTATATGTTTATAAAACTAATAATTAATATAACTTTTTTTTTAATTATTCGTTTTATGAACACTAGTGTTACCACTAAGATAATTATTATAGTCATACTACATTATCATCTCGCTCACACGTAGTTCATGTAAGCAGGATAGCAATAATAGTACGACGAATGTTACTTGGGTGACGTGAGCACTAGCTAAACTTAGTTATTATTTGGTATGTCCGAACTAAGTATGTTTAAGTATGGAAATTATTGTTGTTGTTGATATTTTGCCGGCTTTTAAACGACACCACTCTTTATTAATGCTATTGTTGAGAGTTATTGCCAAATTTTTATTTGTTCTAAAATCTTTGTCTTTGTACATATCCATTAAATAAATTATGTACCGAGGATCAATTTGTTTATTTATGTTACCCAGACCAAATCCTTACAGTAGTCGCCTAATTATGAGATTTAACATTAACCTTGTGGAAAATTATAGCATTCATCCTCATCCGTAGTAACTCAAAAATCGAGTCTGTATTTACTCGATTTGCTCTCTAACCTTCTACATTATAGTATTTTACCCGATTACTGTGGGTAAAACATTGTATACACGTGTAGTATTAAAATGTCCCCGTACCGAAATTCAATAATGACAAGGATTATCGTACGGTTGGCGTTCCTGTGTGACAGCAAATTTTAACATCGACATTCACTGATTTAATGTAATAGCGCGCGCAATATCTTTCCGTCCTATATCACGAAATCACTCCCTACAAATTGCAAAAATACGAAAGGAATAATATCATCAATCTAATTTTGTTCTGTTTTTTTTTCTCATAAACGTGGGGAACATAGGAATTGTTTTGCTATATTTCTAAAGCTATAGGTTTCATAGTGTCTGTATAATCTTTATTAGATTATAGATATCTTTATTATTAGTATGAAATATATATTTAATAGATATCTTTATTATTAGTATGAAAATTTTTCTCTGTCATATTTTTCTTTCCAATATGGGTTGGCACAGAGTAGGTTCGCCAAAGACACGTTTAGGGAACGGGAAGGCGGAGTTTTGTTGTAACTTATGTCTACTCAACACACTCAGGAAAATGTTTGTAATTCCAAAAAAAAATGACAAATTTAAAAACTTTATAATTTTATTACAAAAAGAACAAAGATTGTTTCTACAGTCCGTATTAAATATACAACGATATATTTTTTTTATCTTAATATTACAAGAATAGCGTATTTAAGAACTATATGCATATCAGTTTAATTTCATTGTCCATTTAGTTGTGTTTGGCGCTACAATACACTTTTTATAAAAATGATGTAGCTAGTCTAGTGAGATGGAGTTTTAAGAAAAATATATCTGTCTGGCCTCTGCGGGTGCTTGTTCCATAGGGCAGTAGGGGCATTTCAGTCTGTAATGTAAATATATGGAGTTATTATAAATAAATATAATAAGGTGCTATCCACAAACAATGTCACACCAATATCAGGCATTATTACTCGCACCACACAATGACACAGCTAGTCATATTTTGCTAGTTAAAATTTCGTGTTCCGCTACTAGAAGGATAATTTCCTAATTTTCAGTGTTTCTTAAATAAAAGTCTTAATTTTGATGTGTTTTTACACGAACTTTGTCAGTCCTTCAACCCTTCGTTATAAATATCATACTATGTTAAACACCCTCCTTTCCCCCATTCCCTCCAGTAGTTGAATTGTATTTTAACTTCTCCATTTTACGGAGAGTAGAGATACATAATCAGGCCCCTGTTTAAAGAAGAATGATGTACATACTTGGCACCCATGGCGAGTTTGTTGAGCGCGTCCCGCGAGATGACGTGTCCACAGAGCAGCCGCATGGGCGGGTTCTGCTCGGAGGCCTGCTGCCGCAGTATGGGGCATGCGAATACCGAGTGGTAGCCACCGCCGTCCTCGCCCAGGTCCACCTATATACACACATTTCACACACTTCATGTATATACATACAATTAGGAAAACAAATATAGTTTGTCCAGATGAGAATCGAGCTAGTTTCAATAATAGCACGTGAGAAGGTAGACAAATATGTCTGCAATCTGTGTTTTCAGAATGAATTTACAATTAAAAATAAATTTAAATATTTCTATCAATGACTTAGTAAACATAACACAAGCTCTACTTAATTTGGAACTAGATGGCACTATGTGTATTGTCCTATAATTATTTTTCAAGAATGAGATCTGATTTGATGGTTCACTGTATTAATTTAGTAGTTAAGGTAGTAGTACTTTTTATGTGACATGCCCCACATTAGGCTTTCTAGAATTCTTGTGCTCCTCACTAACAACATTAGAACCCTGAAAAAAAAACCGGCGAGTACCTCTAGCGGCAACTCGTCGTCGGACCAGGCGGCGACGACGTGCGGATGCGTCATCTTGGCGCGGATATCATGTAGCGCGGGCAGCACGCGCGCGCCCGCCAGCACCGCGCCCGCCAGCGGCGACAGCGGCGCCAGTCGCAGCAGCGCACACGCCTCCCGCACGAACAGCTCCGCGGCCTCCGCTCCGAGCGCGGCCGGCGCGAGTAGACGGCGGTAGGCCCGAGGCGCCGGGCCCGCACCCGCCCGCACCCACGCCAGCGCGCACACTGCCGCCTGCAGCTGCCGCTCGTGGCGCGCCGCGTGTCGTGGAAACTGCTCGCGCGCGTACTCTATGGCCGCGCGCACACCTTCGGAGCGCGCCAGCCGCAGCGCTTGCATGCGGTGCAGCGTGAACGGCAGCGGCGAGTGCTCCAGTCGAGCTGCGTGCTGCTCCGCCCACTGCAGCGCCGGCCCCGGATCGCCGGCCGCTAGCGCTACCGCGCATCGCTGCAGCGCTGCGAATTCGCACGACCGCTCCACGCCCGTCACCCCGCTCTCCGCCACCACCGCGTCTCCCACCTCCTCCAGACCCTGACAAGTGCCCGTGATAGATAATTTTTAAATTTAATGTATCAAAATGTTTTTATTATTAATTATATTTGTTGCGGGATCGTAACTGTGTCCCATAATATTAATACATTTTTTTTACAATACCTAAAACCAAAAGTAGTAATTGTATAATAGGTTAATATTAACCGATCGTAATTATACTAAAAAGTAAGAAAATTCACGAGACCTTGCCAACTTATTGGTCGGCATCGACATCAGCTGTGTCGGTTGAGAACGTTGTTCGGGAGAGGGATCACTGGTAATTTAACAGAGCAGAGCTCTCCACAAAAATAATAATGCTGCAGAGCAGGTGATCACTATACATACTTTATTATTAGTGCTGTTAACAATTAGAGACATTGCATAACTTTTGTTTGTCATTATTTATATGTGATTACATATTTATGTATGTTTACAAATATCCAAATAAATTAATTACAAGTATACACTGGATTTTCTCTCTTAGTGCTTTTATATATTGTCATTTAAAATCAATTGTAACTATTTAACCAATATAGAATTTGCTTTTATACGCGGCACTTTAAGATCCACTTTAAAATGTTAGAATTTTTAAAAGATTACCTAAATTTATAGGACTGAATTGTCCAATGCAATTTTTTTATAGTCCTTTGATTGAAAGTCTTCTTTATTAAGATTGTAGTTCCTTTCCAACATAGAAACCAATACAAATGCGAAGAGGACTCATAATTCTGCACATTTATCATAAGTTTGATAGCAATTTCTCACCTGTCGATATATGTGTTGGGCTATGGCCTGTTCCATAATAGGTCTGTTTATATCTGAGCAAAACAACTCTGCTTTAGGAGCGACTGATCCATAGTCGGCTATGAAGTGTTTATCAATTGATTTGCCCACTCGTGACACTGTGGCATGCAACTCTCTATGTTCTGTATTGAAAAAGATATTCTTGTTTTATACTAACATAAAATATCAAGTCATAATTATAATTATCACAATTTCCATTCTATAATAGTAACAATTATTTAATGTATATTAAAAAAATCAGGGAGAAAGGTTGTTTAAATTTTATACACCACCACCTAAAACGCAGTACACAACCTTGTGTGATTATATATTTTGCTATTTGTTGACCTTGTAATCCTTGTATCTCCCTGCGTGGGTAGTAGTAGCTATAGGTAATAATAAAACCTTTGGTTGCTAAATATCTTATATATTTTAACCTTTATAATTTATTTACAATTTAAACAAAAGACCATTATATGTTATAAGAAGGGTAAGTGGATAGTTGCCATATTTAAAATTATACTACTACTAAATTTAATATAGAGTTGGTAAACAATGGTTAAAATAAATTTCTTAAATGAAAGAACTGTAATGAACTTTAAAGTTATAGCACATAAGGGCTATTAATTATTAACAAAGGCCCTTTGCTAATAATTTACCAGGTCGGCTTGACCTCCACTTTTAGTCCCCTTCTCTTACATTTAATAGATTTTTAGTACCTATGACTAAAAATACAGTCCACATGGGAGGAGTTATGAATGTGAATGAAGCAATGAGAACACTCACTCACACACTTGTGAGAAAGTAAAGATCTAATAATACTGATCTCTGCCTAAATCAGTGATCAGGTGAAAAATATAAATATATTCTATATAAAGTTTAACTCATAATGGTTAGAATTAAAAGGAAATACTGTAACTTCTTCATACCTGTGGACATCTGAAATACGGTTTGTTTGACACGAGCAGCCAAATCACTGACCACCATCGCTTGAGTCTGAGATAATGGTGTGTCTGGAGGATCTTTAAAACAAGCATATATAAAATAATCAATATAATAATAATCCGAGGGCAATACACACAGCACTCTCTAGACCCAAATTAAGCTAGCTAAAGCTTGTGTTATGTGTAACAAGATAACTGATACAAATGCATAGATTTTTTTATTTAATTCATAATATTCATGGTGTTTTTTGCACTTGTAGCTAAATTATGTAATCTAAAGAGAGAAGATGACACAGTAATAACAAAAGAGTTAATTTATAATATTGTTTTCATTTACATTTCACTACAAATTCAATAGATTTACATGGTAAAAATTTAAAACCATTAACCAATGTATCCTCATTACATTTCATCTCTAATAGTCAGTTAGTCAGGACAGTAAAACTCAAGGAATTGCTAACCAAGCCCAATAGCAGGTATGTAATCGGTCAATATAAGACGCCTGAGAATGCTTGTGAAATGTTAATAGTTTGTAAATGACTATGTGTAAAGAAACCAAATTATATACATTTATACATATATTTAAATAACTATATAACAGATTCAATTCAAAAGGGAACATAATTTATATATGACAATTATCAAACACATTGTTTTTCTATGCACTTTGAGAGATATTTATTACAATTAGTATTGCAAGATAGGAAAGTGGCAAAGTTGCATGTCTTTCAATCAACATTTTTTCATGCTTTCTCTTTGTTACAAAGAGAATAGTTAAAATTATCTATCTGGGATACATATTGGGCTAATATGAACATACACTTACTTTGAGCAATTTCTTTCTTTAAATTCTGGACTTGTTCTATAATATCCTGCAGAACTATATCAGTGTGATCATTTATAGCATTAAATTTTGAAATAGCTTTGTCCAAATCCTGTTCAACACCAAGGCAGGACTCCATATTTCTCGATTACTACAACCTTGTAACAAATTACTAAACACTAGTATTAAAATTAATTGGTTTAATTATGATCGGTTGCTATAAATACTACGTTTAGACTAAAATAGTCATTTTTATCATGAAGTTACAACTTGATAATAAAAATAAAATTAAAGCGAAGTGAATAGCAAAGACAACAATGACAAGACAAACAAACATTAAAAAATATTGACTGATAGGAGTGACACTATATTGTCAATCTTGGTTCAGTCCACAGCACTGAGCAAATAATCACTACAACAAAAGTAACTACATAATTTCTTTTTGCTTGTCATAGAAAAACCTATATTTTTCAATTTACCAACTAACATCCAATATTAGTTAGCAGTCGTCGACCTATTATTAAAGCTCCAAAATTAGTGAGACAAATATAAGTAGCAGTGTTACTATTAATAAAAAACAAAAGAAGAACACGAACTTCTAGTCTTGAAAAAAAATACATTCTGTCTATGGTCGTGTATTGCACAATTTCGTCTACCAAAAAGTTAGGTTATTTTAAAGTGAGGAATTACCATTGAAATATCTGGAATAGTTTTAAATTTGTTTCTTAATTATGGCGCAGAGCAAGTTGAATGATATGGCTGGTAAATTCGCAAAAGGTGGGCCACCAGGATTGAATATCGGTTTAAAAGTGGTAGCCGTGATCGGAGCGGCAGCTTACGGATTCTCACAATCCTTATTTACCGTCGAAGGAGGTCATCGAGCCATTATGTTCAACAGAATAGGAGGTGTCCAACAGCACGTAATGAGCGAGGGTCTGCACTTCCGCGTACCTTGGTTTCAGTATCCTATTATTTACGATATTAGATCACGACCTCGCAAAATTTCGTCACCCACCGGTTCCAAAGACTTGCAGATGGTGAATATCTCATTGAGAGTACTGTCGCGCCCTGATGCTAGTAATCTACCAATAATGTATAGACAACTGGGAACGGACTACGATGAGAAAGTGTTACCCTCTATTTGTAACGAAGTTTTGAAGTCAGTTGTTGCAAAGTTCAATGCATCGCAGCTGATTACACAGCGCCAGCAAGTGTCACTGCTGATTAGAAGAGAACTAGTTGAGCGGGCGGCTGATTTTAATATTATTTTAGATGATGTATCCTTGACTGAGTTGAGTTTTGGCAAAGAGTATACGGCAGCTGTAGAAGCGAAACAGGTAGCCCAACAAGAAGCTCAGCGCGCCGCTTTCGTAGTAGAAAGGGCGAAGCAGGAACGCCAACAAAAGATTGTTCAGGCTGAAGGTGAAGCTGAGGCTGCAGAGATGTTAGGTAAAGCCATGGGTATGAATCCTGGTTATTTGAAGTTGCGTAAAATACGTGCAGCTCAGAGTATCTCACGGATGATTGCACAATCACAAAACAGAGTCTTCCTTCCTGGCAATAGTTTGATGATCAATTTGCAAGATCCCACATTTGATGATTTATCAGAGAAGCTTACTAAGAAGAAGTAACATATGGCGACGGTAGAGTGTGTTAGTGAATCGAAGCAAATGACCACTGCTGCCGATGATGATACTGCCATTATGATTAGTGGTGCTGCTTCTATCTCTGTCTAGTGCATTTGTGTTAGTGTATCACAAAATACAAGTAACTATTGTCTGTATCTATTGTGATGTGGTCTGTTTATTAGTTGTAGTTTTATAGTATATATGAGAATCATATTGGTTTTAATAAAATTGTTTAAAACTTTGTGTCATTAACTTGTTAAATATAACATTACTGATTGCTTTATAGTTTAATTAGATGCTTTTACTAACCTTAATAATAATATAAAACACTCATTACATTAGTCCTCAAGAAATACTTTTGCATTTGAAATTATGCAATAAATTCTTATTCCATACAAGTACTTACATCACGAACATCTACAATTTAATTTTGAAATGCAGTTATGCTTTGGAGAGAAAGATAAACAGTATCTATTACCTATCTGCACATATATCATTAACCACACTTGTAATAACATTTAAAAACTCAACTTTAAAGTTTAAGCCTTAAAGTTGATATTAAAGATATAATTGTATATATGATACCATATTGACATTTCCATTTCATAACATATCACTAAAAACCTAGTAAGATAAATGAGAATAAAAATATCACAGCTTGTGATGTCAAGTACTTACAATCCAATATATATTTATGTTCACATTTGATCCCAAACAATATAAATTGATATCAAATTAACTTTATATTTCACCCTTTTCACTATCATGTGGATACAATTTTTTACCGTTCATTCTGAACTGAACCTGATTAATTTTCATTTCAGTGAATATAAAATATTTCGTCAATAACAATTGCATATCACCTTGTCTCATATTGATGCTTTTAGAAAACTTAACACACTGTCTCCAGTGAAGAATGCCTGATGTACTACATGTATTACTACCAATTTAAAGCTATACACTATTAAAACAATCAAATTGAAATCACAACATACCAGCCATGTTATTAAATTAGTAAATGGAAGGATAATTAAGAAGCTATCTTTAAAAATTTTACTTCTATCAGGTTAAATTACCAGTAATAGAGAGTTCCCTGAGCTTTTCTACCTTGCATTCTGCAACTTCAATTCACTGATCCCTGACACTGAGTCTCTGGTTGGACTACCTGCTCAACTTCTATGACAGTCATATATTTTAGCCAAAAGAAAATACATGTTCCACAGAAAATTAATTCTTTTAATAGAGTAATCTGCATATATTTAAGTACTTAACTGGCTTAAAATTATTTCAAAATATATTTAGCATTTAAGATTGCACACAAATAAATTTTAGAATAATTGGTTTTTTAATTTGAATTGTAACAGTACTTACTCATGAAGAAGTCATTGTTATTTGTTTATTGATGTTCTACAAAACATACACCTATTAAAAATATGTGTGTGTATTCATCAGCAGTGATATAAGACATTCTCATACTGATCAATCACTATTCACCATAAGGTCTTATGCCAACTGTTATACTTTCAATCCTTAGTTATCTCAATCTCTAAACATATATAAAATGAGAATTTTAAACAATTCACATGATAGTCGCAAGTTAACAGAACTTGTGTTACAGGTACTAGGCAACTTTTAGAAATGATCAAATAAGTACATTTTTTGTAAATATGTAATATATATATAAAGCACCTAGTCCAGTACCATCATATTAATGAATACAAATTTTGTTCTTACCATGCAAGGAATTGAACCTGCTACCATTGGAAGTAAGATGAAGTGTTAAACTATCAATGCCATAAAATATTGTATCATATAAGTCCTATAAATAATTATACAGCTAACAATCCAGCATGCATACAGAATTGATGATGTTACTTCATAACCCTAGATCAATCATTATAGTTAAAATAACAATCCTAATGTCTCATCTTTCTTATATAGATATTTTATATCCTTTATATAAAGTTACTTTAAATGATATTATCACAGCAAATATCCTATTTATGTAATGTCTAAAAATGTTGAACATAGAGGTACATCAGATACAGCAGAAAAATTAACCTCAGTGAGTTTTATTAATATGTGCAAATAATTAATTTATTTAATCATTGTCTTATGGACAAAATAAGTTTTAGCACTTCACAAATGTAAAAAAAAGAACATGGGTATAAATAATATTTTATTTTATAAACTAAACATGGTAAACAAATATACAATCAATTTCCTACTTCAGGGCTGAAGGTTGTGGCAGTCTATACTTAGCCATTTCGACCTCCGCTTCGAAAAAGCTGACGTTGTCATAACAAAAATATTCTGGGACTTTGTAAGCTCCGGTCTTCCCAGGATCCACATCAGGCCCTACAGGTTGAGTCGCTGTATGGACTACTGCACTGCTCAAACCTGAAACATTTGCATTCACTTGCGTAACGGGCTTAGATGTAGTCGGATTTTGGATTGGAGGTGAATTCTCGCTATAATATCTGCCCAATATTCTTATTAAATTATTCCTTAAAAGAGGTCGGATCATTTTGGATTTTATAGCTCTAGACGTAATTTAATAATGAGGAATTATTAATTTTTAGTAAACTACAGCAAAGAATATACTACTCTCTACAGTCAATACAATAGAGTCTACAAAATAAATAGATAAAAAGTGTCGAAGTAAAATTTGATGTCACACTTTGACATCAATGTCAACGTCAAATTTATTTTTTCGCAGGCAACTGAATGTTGCCAATATAATATCATTCTTAAAACTAGATAAGTAATTACGCGTACATGGTATAAAATTATTAGTAAATAATATATATTAAAAGTTTGATGTGAATTTTTATTAAAAAAAGTAATTTCAGCAATTGTTTTCTTACAGATGGAAGACAAGGAAAGTTGTTATGTGGTATTAGACTAATAACTTTTTGCGAAATGTCTTATAAGTAATGTATTCTAACGCATTTATTAATAGATTATCAATGCTATATAAAAGTACTCAATAAAATCACACCGTAACATACCGCCTTACTTGGTCATTGGTTAGATTTCTACTACAATGCAAACATTTTTATTAGTAGTTGGTCTGGGTATTTTCTATATAAGCTATATATGTATTTACAAAAATATGTAATTAGGTAGGTATTTCTAAATAGTCACTACTAAAATTAAATAGTGACGGGTATCCCAAATTCCCAACACATTGCATCGAGGTGACGATTTTATTTATTCAAAATAGGACGTTATAGACTATAGGATAATTTTACATACTTATCACAACACTTTTCCATTTAGGAGCTGAGCAATAGTATGTTATTTAAAAATCAGACATTCTCATTGCACTTAAATTCATAAATAAAGTTTGATGGGGTTATCAGTATTTTTATTTTGACCTAGCATGTGGTGATTGCTCAGTGAGCCAACTAGGTACACAAGGGAGAAGATGTTAATAATGCGGACTCGTGTGGAGACTTACCTCAACGCGATTCCCTCTGAAAACCATCCTAATAAATTCCTACTAAATTTCCCACGATGTACTAACCGACCTGACCTATACTATGTGGGGCTCACCGCAGGCGAGTGCACCATATAATTAACAGTAATAAAAAAATACGGTACAAAATTACATGAGGTAGGTACTATTTAGTCTATTCTATATATTTTTTCGATAATGCATACAACTGCTGCTCTCTTTATAATATTGCATTATCAAGTGAGCGCTTTGTGCACGCGCACGAAATTGCTGGCACAACGGTATTAAAAACAGTTACAGTTAAGGGTAATTGTTTCCTTACGGGCTTTGTGTTCATCGAAATAGGATGCCCTGACGCCCACGTCAGGGCATCCTATTCCCAAGTCAGTAACACAAGTTGCAATATTAATATACCGATGTTTGTTGCTTACCTAAGATCAGAAGACCAAGTGAATATTATATAATTAATAATTTATAATTATACCCCACGCTATGCATAAAATATAAATTGGTGAACGGTACTTAATTATTTAATATATGTCACCGCGTCATGTATATTTGTCCATCCATTGTAATGCCGAAGCCTTTCACATGTCCTCGCTGCTTTTTGGCAAAAACATAAAAATGTCACAATAAACGCCTGCCCATTTAACTATTAGTTTTTAGAAAAATTTCGTAGTTTTCTTGTTTTACTTCTGGCAATACTATAATTCTCTATGCTCTATGGTTCTTTTTCATGACTGTTTTGTATAGTTTACCTTGCGTATTTTGCCGATTTTTCGGTCGAGAATTGAAATATGTGTATGATTTAACGTTTATTCTATTTTACAAAGTGCAATAATGTATTCCAACTATAGTTAACTCTGGTTACAACAAAGCTTTCAATAGAACGCTAGTTCAGCCATTTACATGAAAGGTGAGTATAAAAAATTGGTACCTGAATGTTTTTTTGTTATTTATAGAGGCCAGTTTTCATAGTTTCGCTATGATTTATTTTTATGTTAGTAATTTCATTGGTCTATAATCTCATTTGGTTTCAGTTAGTAGATAATTCACAAAATATACATACATCGTCGTATCTATATTATAGTCGTCAATATCTATGCATGTACCTATTTGCCGCTACTCTGTATCTACCAACATATTTATATAGGTATATAGAAGTATAACCCGTCCAAATTGAATAGGTTCTGCTACATACGTTCCATTTCATAATATTCCTAAACTATTACATCAATGCATAAATGAATTACTTTCATTCATTTAAATATAACCAAATTTAAATATATATTTGCATTTATTTTGGTAATTTTAAATAGTTTTTTTGTGGTTTTCCTAATTTATTTCAATTATAAATATACATTTTGTGTTCCAAAACCGTAATTAGGAATACATTTTTAGTCTATGGTTATTTTTTTTAAATGTATCTTACGGCTTGTGTATTTTACATGCGTATTTTGCTTAGAACTCAAGTATAAGTTATAAATTTAATTGAATAAAGATAATACTAATAATATTACTTTAATTTAAGTAACATTTACATGTTCAATATTTGTAAATACGTGAAATGGCGGACGATACCTCTGTTTGGCTTGTGCTACGCGAAGCGACAGAATATCTGTCAAAACTAGGTTCCAATTTGCGAACTCGATCAGAAAATCTAAAAGAAAAAAGAATACTCCGAGATAAGTTGAAGAATTCTCATGCAGCGAAAAAGGCAGCGGACAAAGTGCTTTTAATTTGTGAACTGTCAAAAAAGTCGCTGGAAAATGTCGAAAGTGGCGTTACCAGAGTGCTATCAGTATTACACGCTGCCCAAAGTTCAGCAAGTGGCGGGAAAACACCGGCGCCAAGAAAATCATCAGATCAAAAAACTAATTACCATTATTTCGAATATGAGTCTTATAAATTGCGCATATCGAAAAAAATTCCCCTGAAACATTTCATGTCTGTAAAAGTATTGACACGTTCTATGTCAATATCAATGCAGGATAAATATCCAGTTTATCATGACTGTAAATTGTATCGCATTAGAAATAAAGGACAGAAAGCTGTGAAAAAAAAGTGTACCAATGAACAAATTTCTACAAGTGACCAAAAATTAGATAGTGAACAAAATAAATTAGATATACATCACTCTGATAGTGATAACTTTAACCATCCTGAAGGTGTCACAAGTAATTCCTCCATCAATTGTATTAATAATGAAAATAGGAAAGATAAACTTAAAAGTACAGACGAAAATATAAATGTGCCTGAAAAAAATTTGCCAGCTTTATGCAGTAAAACTGAGGAACCCATGAATCATTTTGAAAAGTCAGTTTCTACTAATGGCACAAAGTTGAAAGAAATTACAAGTTTATCACCTAACAATGATTCTGATAATGTAACTTGTGCTGATATTACTTCGCCTCTAGAGATAATAACTGATAAAAATGTGTCTAAAATAAATAATAATGAAAAATCAAAACCTAATAGTAATAAGGTATGTGAAAAAAGGAAACAAAGTTCTGAAGGTGATTTCATTAACAACTTAGATACTGATATTCAATTAAGTGAAGGGATAAGTTCTAGAAAAGACAGTTCTGCTATGATTAGTGAAGAATTGGTTTCTAATAATGATAAGGAATGTATTAATGATGTAACTAATGACAATGTCTCTGAGAGTGACGTAGAAAGAATAAGAAAACATAGTCGAAAAAGTAGAAACAAAAAAAAGTATGTCCTCAGTGATGATTCTGAAGATGTCTCTACCATGACTGTCACTTCAAATAGTGAAGTAATGACAAACCAAAAAGACCAGGATTTGAGTAAAAGTAATATAAAAAAATCTGTTAAGAGGAAAAGATTATTACTTACAGATGAATCTGATAACGATGAAATTATAACTAATTCTGATGTTGTAACTCAAACTAAACCCACTACTAGTGCTAACTTAGAATCAGAAAAAGAATCCACAAGTAAGGAATTACCCAGATGTTCAAGCAAAGAAGCTAATGCAAGCAGTAAGCATAGTGATGAAATTAAGTCAAATAGTGCAAATGAGGATGTAGTTATTACTCTGGATGACTCTGTTATTAATCTAGATGATAGTGATAGTGATACTAAGGAAACAAGTTCCACCAAGAAAAGAAAACATAAAAAAGTAAAATTTAATGAATCTGATACAGACAGTAAAAAAAATAAAAATAGTGGTTCTGAAGACAGTGATAGTAACATAGACAAAGTAGATACAGGAAAGCCTCTTATAAAATGTGTTAGTATAAGTAAATTACTGAAACCAGATATATTAAATAAATTTGCAAATATTTCATCAAAAAAAGAAATTATCAAAAAGAAAGTTTCACATAAACAATATGCAAAACATAATAAAAGTGAAAAAAGCCTAAAAAAATCACATAAAAAAGAGATAGAAGAGGAATATTGGTCACAGAAAAGAGAAGAAGTAAAAAACTTCAAAGAAAAAGACTTTTTCATAAAGTTAATTAGATTACCTAATATTTCTGTAGATTTTTTGCTTGCACACAATTTGAGAAAGATTATTAGAAATGATTTAGTTATTTGTGAAGTACCCGATGAAAGGAATGATTTAGCTAAAGAATTAAGTCCCATATATAAAAATTCATCTACAGCAGAGAGTTGCAGTGGAATAAGTAATATGAGAAAGCCTTTGTTAAATGACTCTAGAGAAAAATCAAAATCAATTAAAAATCAGAATGATGAAAGGACTGAGAAGGATGAAACAGAAGCAGTTAAAAATGCATTGCTCAATGAATCGGATTCCAATGACGATGAGAATTGTAACAAAAGTGATAACAAAGAGGAAAATAGTGAGAAAACACATTGTAAAACTAAAAGTCCAGAAAAAACTATTGATGATGTTCAGAAATATAAAACTGCATTGCTTTTTACATCAGATTCAGAGAAGGAATTTGAAGGATTTGATAAATCAGCAGCTAATGACAATTTTAAGCAAACTCTTAAGGATAATTCATTGCTCAATGATAAAAATACACAAGATAATGAGCAATCAAAAGACAATGATAATGCTGTATCACCTGATAAAAATGAAAGAGAAAGTGAAAAACAGATGTCACCAAAAGATTCTGAGGAAATAAAAACTGCTTTATTGAACTCTTCAGAATCTACACAGTTTAGTCCTCATAAAAAAAAAGAAGACAAGAGTGTGACACCAAGGTCTAAAAGGAAACATATAATGGAAAGTATGCATGCAAAAAAAATGTTACTTACATACTCATCCAGTTCTGAAACTGAAGATGAGGAATTAAGAGGTGTTCTTAAAGAAATAAAAGATTCATTGCTTAAAGGTGTGGCTAGTTCGGATGATGAGAAAAATAAAAAAAATGAATGTCAACGGAAACTTAATTCTTCCTCTGGTTCTGAGGATAAAGAAAAGCAAGGGAAACTATCACCAGCACAACAGTCTACAGGCTCAAAAAATAATTCTGACAATGAGTCCAGGAAGTCAAGAGATGAAGATGAGCAGTCAAATTCCAGTAGCAGCAAGGTTAGGACTTAATATTTTATAGTCATTACTGCAGTGTTCCATAGAAATTAGGCAATACTACCAGCTGCTACTATTTAACTCATTACTATGGCCTATATTTCCCAGGTATAGCATTCTTATATATATAGTTCATTCTACAATGACGCAGTCCAATCCTGATCATTTATAGTAACAGCATGTAATCTTCTGGTACTACCATTATGTATATCATATACACATTAAGCTGGAATCATGGGAAATTATTATAATCAAATTAGTACTAATCACCTTCTCAAAAACAATTATATTTTGTTTCTTCAACTATAATATCACAGTTTAGTATGTGTCAAACATAAATTCCTTCTGAGTTCAATCTTTCACAAATTAAGAACCACACTTTTGTCAATGGAGCTCTTGTCATTTCCCACAACTTTTCATCATCTTTAAATGTTGATATGTCAAAACTCCAATTTAGATAATTTGATAATTCCATTCTAAATGTAATTATTAAAATTAGTACAGTATCCATGAAAATAGCATGTAACATAGACTCATAAAAATATTGATAATCTTTTTCTTTTTAATTGTAAATAGTCATACATATGTGTAGCTTTCTTTTTGGAATTCATATAATGGTTACAGAGACCAGTTGGAAATTAAGAATATAATTATGCTTTATATGTTATATATCACTAATAGAAGATGTGAAGTTAAAAAGAACAATTAATATATTATGTTTAATGTTTATTATGTGTCTCAAAGTATTCACACGTAAAAAAATATTTTTAAATAGAATTTGTTGTGCATTTGTAGATTTCCTGCCATATTACACATATATTATTATATAATATGTTAGAAATTAGTTATGTACTCACGTGACTTTAAGTGTATTTTTGACTTTAAATGTGTCTATAATACCAATTATTAAAGACTCGCACATGATTTTGATGTTTTATTAACAACCTACTAGGTTGACGTTTATTATATTACTATTATTATAATGGACATCAAGCTAATTATATTAAAATGTATAGACTAACTGATAATAGGTTCATTCTCGCGATATAGCTAATATAATAAATTAGTTTTGTAAAAGTAGTCTCTCATGTACATTGAAACTAATTACAGATTGGCCGTTCTATGGCGAAAACTGGTGGTTCTGAGGAGAATTCAGACACGAAGATTGATAAAGAGTTAGATGGGTAAATATAGTTATGGTGTAAATAGATTGGGCCCATCAGTTCAGTGCTAACTCATAATTTCTGAAGATAATGGATCTAATTTCCATAAAAATGAAGCACAAACAATTTGCTTCCATATTTAATAAAGAATTTACATTGCATGTGTTTGAAAAATAACAATAAACTATTTATATATGTTTAAAAAGTAAGGAATTATAATTCATTAAATATATATCACAACACAATGTATAATCAAATAGTTTTTTAGGTAGTCCCGCGTGAAAAAATGATTTAATAATATATGTATATTAATAAAAAAAATTACGAAACAAAAACCACAGAACACAGAAGCTTTAAACTTAGAATCGTATAGGACTTTCAAAGGCATTATATGCCTTAGTTATCTAGAGCACCGTAGCGAATTTATACAGTTTTCAAATGTTTATCATTGAAACAGAGCAGATTATTAAGGCTGTCTTTATTATCGATCGATGCTAGTATGCAAGTTTCACGGGGCGCCCATTCGAGCAATTTTTACAGTATCTCTATTAAATATAAAAATCGTATCATACTATATGAAACTACAATGTACAGATGTAAAGATCACACTGTACAGTCCTCTTCATAATGGATTCAAACCTGCAGAACAAACTAACATAAAGACATTACAAATTAAAATATTCTAACTTTTAAACAAAACATCAAAGTATTATTATTCTTCTATAGCTCCATACTATTTTTTTTTTTATAATGAAATTATTTTTCCCGTCTGCGTTAACGGTTTACTCTGGCGGGGCACCAATGATAAAATGAGCATAGGTCAGTTAGTCTATCATGACAAATTCACTAGGAATTTATCATGATGGTTTCCAGGGGGAACCACGTGGAGGTTAACCTTATGTGATACATTGTTCGCAATGAGGTTATTATATTAATCTACATTACTAACAATTTCTTTACCCCCTCTATACTAATATTATGAAGAGGTAAAGTTTGTGAGGTTGTAGGGCGTAATCTCTGGATATATTGAACCGGTTTTGAAAATTCTCTTAGTTTTGGATAGCCCATTTATTGAGGAAGGCTATATAACATCCCGATCAATAGAAGCGGCGCTGCAATGGACAATGTAGGAAAACGGGGCAAATGTGACGCAGATAAGTTGCGCGGGTTAGCTAGTTATTAATAAAGACGTACGATACGAAATTAATAATACTATAATATACTAATAGGAATCTAATACAAAATGACGTTAATATAAAAATACGACAATGTATGTATTATTAGTTATAAACCTACAATTTTATTTATAAAGGAAATTTTTTTTTTAAATAAGTTAGAGCTTTCTTTTTGGTTAAAAATAGGTCAAATAGTTTTGTATCTCTACCGATACGGTAGTGACGAAATGAACTAAAATAGGTTTCTAAAGGATAACACGTAAGGTATATACTAACATGAATAACTGGCAAATGGAACTTTTCACTTTTCCCAATGAAACAAAGCGTAAATTCTTTGTATAAAGTGGTCTGCGAGGGTATGTCAGTCTTGAAGCCGCTAAGAAACTTGCCTTAGCTGTATTTCGGTTGTAGGATGAGATTAGTCAGTGGAGTTATAGGATAAGCAGCATAACTTCTTACTCCTTTGAAATTGCAACGTTTGAGTTTATCACTAGCGTCACATGATAACGTGATGTCCGTGGTCCTGTTCATGTGTATAGACGACGGGTACTTCTTACCATCAGGTGGACCGTCAGCTTGTTTATCATTATAAAAAAAAAAATCTTACATAATATTGCTTGTGTCTATTTAGTATAGTCTTTTTTACCATTTGTTTCTTAGTGGAAGTAATTTAAGTTTTACCTGGTTTTTAGTATACCCAACATATAACATAATTGTTTATTTTTTTAAACACCTCTAGAAATACATTAACATAATTCTGCAGGCTAACGAATTTAAGTAACCTGAACAAAAAACGCCGACGGCGAGGTTCGACATCAAAATCCACCAGAAGTCGCAGAAAGATGTCAAAATCTCCACTCATAAATCCTGAGAACATGCTGCAGACCGAGAGCAGCTCAGATGTGGGTTCCGGCGCTGAAAGCGAATGTGGAGAAGGTACCTGTTACTCTTGTACGCTCTCAAAACCCTAAAGTACTGGTTTTTGAAAGTAAAATTGATACAATAGCGTGTTATGATCGTTTGGCGTTATTAAGAAGTATGTTTACTAAAAAACCTTTTATATTTATCTAAAGAATACATAATAAATCCTGAGAATAGACGATGCTATTAAGGTGTCTCTGAAAAACTCTGTTGTCATTGAAAAACATCTAAATCGTTAATAGTTCAGATTTCGTGTTTCAATACTTAGATATTTTAGTCGCGAAATATAGGACCCCTGACACTCCTTGTGTGACCTCATTTGTCCACGACCCCTAATATAATAACAAAGAAGGTAAATGGTACCGGGAGAAAAGGTTGAGAATCACTGAACTATTTATGTTTAATTAGAATGGTAAACAAGCTGGCAGCTCACCATCTATTATGTGGCGACAGTTGTCTATATACATGAAACAGATCACCATAGACATCACGTTATCATAAGAAGTTCGCTGTACCCCTCATGCGTTGTCATTCCGAAGAACTAAGAGGCACGAGCGTCCCTGTATTATTTTGTTTCTTTTCTTTTATTGGATGCTTTAGGAACGATGCGTCCGCATACGCTACTGGTTTATGCTAGCAGGGCACCAGTGGATAGGATAAGCGTGATGTCAGGTCAGTTGGCCTATCGTGACAAATTCACCAGGGATTTATCATAATGAATTTGTTTTATTTTTTATTTCTAATTTTGAGCGTATTTGACTGCAATCGCACCTCATTTTAAGTGATGAGGCGGTCTAAACTGTTACACATAAGCTCGATAGTAGCTATTCTCTCTTGACTTGAATGACCCAATGTTGTAACAGGCATAAAAACGGACTGACTGCTACTGCTGCTGGGAGAGAGTTCCACTCCTTAGCCACTCGCATAAGGACAGATGATACAAATCGGTTGATACGAGCAGTAAACTGAACTAATAATCCCTTTCCCCACGTACGCTCTAATTTTACTACATAAAATAAAAACATTTTTTATTACATTTCTTGCAGACTTGCCAACAATAACGCTATCAGGATTAAATGGCGATAGCATAGGACATATCGCCAAGGATGACTTACTCGGTGAATCTGACTCATCCAGTTCCAACGTAGACAAAGAAAATGAACCAGAGGTGATCTTAATATTATTTCGTAAAGAAATATTGACTACTTGCCCCTTAAGTAATGGTAAACAGTAACAGTCTTCTATATACATACTGTTTTTTTTTTCTTATGGATGATACCTGCGCTAGCGGTTTACGCCGGCGGGGCAGTGGAGGATGATAAGTGAGGTCAGATCAGTTAGCTCATCATGGTAAATTCACCATAATTTATCACTATGGTTTCCAGGTGGAATCACGTCAACCTGATATGGTACATTACTGCTACGCTGCATATATGCTATTTATTTGTATTATTACGTTATTAGTCTACATTACTTACAATTCCCTCCCCCCTATATAAACGGAAGGTGTAATATTATAATGTGACACTCAGGATACCTGTGTTGCATTCCAGTTCTTTTTTACACCAGGTAAATCCATCATGGACACATTTTCCATTGGAGACGAGTTATTATTGCCGGATTTTTACCTGCTAAAAACCTGATGGTATACCTCTCAGGGCCACGGGACCAGTTCACTGTCTTCCGCTTCAAATACCTATTATACTTTTCTCTGCCTAATCGCAACCGATAACCGAAACAGTTTACAAAGCAACGCTTAGCGGCTGTAATAGGGTAGACGACATCACTACGGATATCACTTTTTTTTCTATTTATATTTTTATCAACAATTTATTTATTTTCAGGACGTAAAAAAAGAAGACTCAGAAGAAGAACAGTAAGTGTCTTAATATATATAGGTTTCGATCCATAAAATCCCATGCTGTTAGTACATCACGTTTCTCTTCTATCTTCAGGATAGACAAGCAATAGAATACAAAAATATTTAATGTTTTTTGACATCTGTCTCCCCCAATTTTGTCTGATTCCGTTCAAAAGAAGGCTACCTTTATACCTGAACTATTTTTTATTTTTTAAACTTGAACAATTCACACAACGTCATCTAGCTCCAAGTAAGCAGAGCTTGTGTTATGAGACTAAAGAACTGATATAAATACTTAGATTTTGTTTTTTTTTTAAGTCCATAATATACGTAGAAAGCACCCAGACCTATACAAACAATAGTACTAAGGAATACATATGTTTGCATAGGAATTTATAGGAATATAAGGACAAAGATTGGAAAGTAAGGCGTGTGCTCAGGATTTTTTATTGATATTGAATTCTTTATCCTATGGAGCAAAGTCTATAATTGTACTACAATACATACTCTATACTTCATTAATATTTTTTCAGTGTCAAACTTAAACGTCGCAAACCGAATGCTATATCGTCAGATTCAGAAAATGGTTCAACGCGCAAAAAAAACAAAGATGTGAAGATGAGCGATTTTGAAGATTCAGAGGAGGAGAGTTCAGAACCGGCCAAGAAGAGTAATAAAAAGAAGAAAGGTACCGACAGTGATGCATCTGTCGACCACTCCTCTGATGATGGAAAGTGAGTCATTTTATCCAATAGTATTTTGAGACCTACCTTAGGTACAATTTACAGAAAGTCATCTTATTTTAATTTATTTTTAAATTCGTTCACTATTTATTACACTTTTTTAACTCTAGATATTTGGTTTGTATTCACACAAATGACTAAAAAGTGTGAAGTTATATAACATTAAATTATTGTGAGTTAGTAGTAATTAGAGTAAGTGTGAAGTTATATAAGATTTAATATTTCTATTCTGAATTGGTTTCTCGGTGCCACCTAGAACACATATTTCAACATACAAGCAGCTTGCTTTGCTTTGAAAGCTGGTTCGCTCGCAATATTTTTGCTAATTTCTGTTGATGGTGTAAACAGTTGATAAAGGCTTTGATTACTTCTTTTTTAATAATAAGTCAGGAAAACTCGCACGAAGGAAGCTTCGCACGGGTGTACATGTATTTATTATACATATAAACCTTCCTCTTGAATCACTATGTATTGCTAAAAACTGGATTAAAATCTGTTGCGTAGTTTAAAAGATCTAAGCGAACAGACAGCGGAAGCGACTACATTTTATTCTATGTAAAGAAGAACTTAACCAATATTTTATGAATTTCCAGTAAAAAGAAACGTCGCCGAATCAAACAGGTCGACAGCGAAGAATCAGGATCGGACACGGAAAATGAGGGCCGGAACAAACACGGAAGAAAAAATATCAGAAAGGTATCAATTATAAGATTATTGTAAATCTATCTCTGAATCTTATAACTGATGTTGTGTTAATATTTCCACTAGAATAATTTCCTTTTCAATATTTTATATACTATCAATAATCTATTTTTATTTTTCAGGTTATGGGAAAAAATCAATTGGAAGAGGCCACTAAGAAAGCTGCGCGGGAAGAAAAAGAAAGGATCGCTCGTATTGCGGAAAGACAAAAATTGGTATGTTTCTATGTCTCTAGATATTTTATAATATATAGGAATTTGAAGTAGGTATATAAATTTGGAAAATCAGTTACGGGATGAGAGTGATATAAATTTACAATAAATAAGAATATGTTTGTCACTAATCGCAAATAATTGACTAAAAGTTTCATAAAAAAATCAATTTATGATTCTCATAATATGAAATTTGAATAGAATATTCCTCTACAATTATATTAGGAATGGACAAACAATTAAAATTATCTAGTAGCAGTTTAGTTTAACTGTATAGTATGTTTGTGAGAAACATACACAATCTTGAATAATAATTATTACCTGGACAATATAAACTTAGTTTGCAACATTCTTCAACTAATTACAGTAAAGTATATTTTGAACTAATTATATTGCGAGGCGTTGTCTGCGTGAAATCGACAAAAAGTATCATATTAAGTACACTACGATATTATTTATCTGTGTTCCAAATTTAATTTGACTCCTATAGATAGATAACATTTTTTTAATCCAATATTATGTTTTTTCTTTGCCAGTATAACAATTTAGAGTTTGACGAGTCTGGTAAACCAGATGAGGTGGTGTTAGAGAAAGTGGTCCTTGACTTTGATCCTGAAACAAAAGAGCCGCTCATCGAAGTTGACAGGGGACTGGTGAAGAAGTTGAAGCCACATCAGGTGACTTTTAAAATCATTTAACCGGAGTGGGAAGTGAGGAATGATCTTAGACATCAGATTTGCACACATTGTAACAATACTCTTCCGAAACGGCCAGACCGATCGAGACCATAATTTCTACCTATGGGCCTCCAACGTTTATCAATTAAATAAACACCCACACATTATTTCTGAGTGACTTATAAAAATCGGTAATTAATATTAATTTCTGATAGTGGCTCTATTAAAAAAATGCAAAAACTTGGCAACGTGATAATGTCAAATTTGTCTCCAGGATTAAAAAACAGAATATAGGTGCGCCGTCACTTTGTATACACATTTCCAATGGTATAAAATAAATTTAATTAATTTTATTTTATATATTTATTGTATTATATATAGTATATTGATTATATGTAATTTGATTACAGGCTAACGGTATCAAGTTCATGTGGAACGCGTGTTTCGAAAGTGTGAAGCGCATTAAAAAGGACAGGGGTTCTGGGTGCATTTTAGCCCATTGTATGGGTCTCGGAAAGACATTACAGGTATGTTCTTTAGATCGTGGAAGCACTTTTATATTCCCAATTCCCTTATTTGCTCTCAATTGCTGAAAGTCTTTAAATAAAAAGGTCTTTGTCCATTTTATCCCAATTGTGTAATAGAGCCGAGTGTGTATAATATTGTATGACGTTTTGAATCAAGTGTGTTGACACTTGATTTTAAATAAACTGGACGATAGGGGGCGAGTGCAGATGGCACTCTAAACCCGTGGAACGTGGAAGGATGGAGCGGCTGAAAGACAACTCCCGTCTGACGGATATGACTTCTGTCAGAAGGCACCGCTAGTTGTTCTGAACCTCTGCTCAGGCCGTCATAATTTCGATCCCCGTTTGATTAATGGATTGATCGGAGGGGAAAGAGCGTGTTGTGTGTGTTAAAAATTACCTTTGTTATAAAGTGGTGTATGTGATATAGGTAGTATCACTGACGCACACTCTGCTGGCGGCGGCGGACCTGACTGGTGTGAACCGCGTGCTGGTGGTGTGTCCGCTGTCGACGGTCCTCAACTGGGTCAACGAGTTCCGCATCTGGCTGAAGCACGCGCACGCCGCCCGCGACCTCGACGTCTACGAGCTATCCAGGTACTGACACCGTCTGGACATAATATACGACAGTCTCCACCCTTCTGGGTCAACGAGTTCTGTATCTGGCTCATCACTTCTATATAGAATATATAAAAGTGATGATCCTGATACAGAACTTAGTATTCTTAACATTTTTTATGTAATTTTAATGACAATGTTGACGATATATTATTTATGTATCACATGTAAATTCAGTTGTTTTTTTTATTTATTACTTTTTGGGCTTTTGGGCTAAGACCAAAGAGCTGCACCACTGCGACGAGCATAGATATATTGTGTTCACTAGCTCTTTTTCAAAATTCACTACCTATAACCGTCAGGGACTAGAAATGAAGGATATTCTGATTCTCTCATTCTTTTAAATGTTTTACTCAGGCATAAGCAGAACTCGGAACGCGCATACCAGATGCAACAGTGGTTCGAGAGCGGCGGCGTGTGCGTGCTCGGCTACGAGATGTTCCGTAATCTATCCGCGGACAACGCTAAGAAATTCAAGAAAAAGATGCTTCGTATCTTCCAAGAGAGTCTCGTTGATCCCGGTAAGTTATACCAACCCCTTTGTTAACCTTTTCGACTCGTCACATGGATCCTCAATACTATAAGTGCTTCGCATAAAACATTTTTTATATATGTTGGTCGGAAGTGGCTTGTTAGTAATGTGAACTTACTAAGCCCATTGCTCATGTCCGGTTGACTAGCAAAGTATCATATCTCGTTGACCTCCACTCGGTTCCCCATGGAAAGCATCGTGATAAAGTCCTGGTGTATTTGTCACGAACGGCTAACTAACTTACCTATGCATGCTTATCATTCTCCACTAGTGCTCCGCCAGCGTAAACCGTTAGCGCAGCGCGCACCATTCCATAATCGTCCGTTCAAAAAAAAATATAACATTTTGTTTCTCAATTAGGTCCCGACTTGGTGGTTTGCGATGAAGGTCACTTACTAAAGAATGAAAAAACGAGTTTGTCGCAGTCTATGAACAGGGTGAAGACGCGGCGGCGCATTGTGCTCACGGGGACACCGCTACAGAACAATCTCAAAGAATGTAAGTACTTTCTCATCTATGTATATGTATATCTTATAAGCTTCCGGTATTTCTATTCCTTGACCACCAGATTTTATTCTTTTTAGAACAGTCTAGAAACTCTGGTTTTACTAGTTTTTAACTGAACTGTTTATTAATGTGTTTAATTCTCATTACAGATTACTGCATGGTACAATTCGTAAAGCCTAATCTGTTGGGAAAATACAATGAATATCTTAATCGTTTTGTGAACCCCATTACCAATGGACAATATACCGATTCGACGGAACACGACATAAGGGTGATGAAGAGACGTTCACATGTACTACATAAAATGTTGGATGGTGCCGTGCAGGTAAACCAACCTTATTACAATTAGTTTAAATAGTAATTGTGTTCCCATAATGTAAAATGAAATGTAAAAAATGTGAAAATGAAGTGTTGCTTCAACACAATATAAACAGAGCTTGGGTAAACAACCAATAAAAATAATACATATAGAAAACACCCGGATTAATACTAACAGACATATTAATGTATACAAATAATTCTATAATAAATATTTATCGAGAATAGAATTCGCTACCATTGTTGACGTAAGTTGGTGCTCTAAACCGCTGGGCAACCGAGGCGTCACAATTCACTAGTGATAACACAGTGCAAAATTATTTCAGAGGAGAGATTACGGGGTGCTGGCGCCCTTCCTGCCTCCGAAGCACGAATATGTGCTATTCATCACACTCACAGATGTCCAGATAAAACTCTACCAGCACTACTTAGATAACTACTCAAGGAGGTATGACATTTTTTTTAATGGATGATAAGGAATATTACACTTGCTTGTACTAACGGTATACGGTACGGTACTGGCGGGGCATCAGTAAAGGATGATAAAATGTATATGAGGTTAGCATTGGTATTCTGTAAGCGTTCTATCAACTCATTTCTCTCATCGCTTCAATAATGGCACTCATATCCGTTTTCAAATATAAAGAACCTACTGAACTTTCGAGCTTGCCCATATTTAAAAAAAACACTAGTGCCTGTTTTACCTCTATCCCGCTCTCGAGCATGGGCTATCGGGTTTTACAGAATGTACAACCTCACCGCAGATTCCGCTTTTGAATTCGTAAGTGATGCTTACAGAATAGCTCTGCTGGTCAGTTAGCCTATCGAGACAAATAACAAGGACCTTATTATGATGGTATGGAACCATAGTGGAGGTCAACCTAATGTGGTACATTGCTAGCAACGGGGTTATTAATCAACATTACTAACAATCCCATTCCACCATTATGACCATATTTCATTAGTTATGTCATTAGTTTTCACCCATTATTTCATTGGTTCATATAATATAAGGGGTCTATTACAATAACTTATTTTCGTGATGGATGAATTTGGAATGGTGCACCCACAGCATAAAAACCGTATATTCTAAAAAGGTGTTTAACACGCAAACACCTTTTTACTTCAATGTCACCTACATATTTATTTTTTTCTTTGTTTCTTTCTTTCTACCTATTTCAGACGCCAATTGGCTTTATTTGTGAGATGTATTTTGGTTGTAGGGTGAGATTAGCCAGTGAATTACAGAATAAGATGCATGACAGCATAGTCAACTCTACTCTATTCTATTCTCTAGAATAGAATAGAGTAGAATGGCAATGGATAAGTACCACTGGTGCCAAGTGATAACGTGATGTCCGTAATGTTATTCATGTAACCATCGCCTATATAGGCGATGGTTACTGTTGACCATCAAGTGGATGGTAAGCATGTTTCCGTTTACATAAAAATAGAAATACCAATTTATAATTACGAATAAAAAACAAAAAAATAATGTTTTTTTATAACCGTTATTTAATACCTGGCTTGTTTACGATATTATTAAATATAATGGACCCCTCATCCCCAGACCACTACCGGGCAAGTCGTCAGGTTTCCTGTTCCCTGACTTCCAGTCGCTGCAGAGGATATGGACGCACCCACTCGTACTCAAATATAACTCTGAAAGATACGAGATCATGCAACAAAAGAAAGTAAGTCCCTCCAAATGTCCTTCAATAAATAACTGATAAATTAAAAAAAATACACTAATATGAAGCATTTGAAGAGTTTGTTTGGTAAATACTAGTTCTAATTACAATATACTTTTAATGTTCGATACCGTATGTATCTAGAAAAGATAGCTTATAAGCTATATAGTATTATGCTATGCTATAACCAATAGGATCACAGCTTAAATAAAAGTAGTTGAAAAAATGTAGAAATATCACATTGTCCATTTTTTGGGTGAACGAAGTTGCACTTGTCTCTACTTCGACAAGCCCAATCAAAATGCACATTTTTTCCATAGGCCATAATGGGTTGATGCTCACGCCTAACGGTATACGGTATACACTGGCGAGATATCAGTGCAGTCAAGCTGTTAGCCGCAACTTCGTTCGTGGAATTTACTCGTTTTTTTATTAAAAGACAACATTTCTAAAATAAAAGTAATCTATGTTAATGACCTTATAACGTTATTTATCTGCGAGTGAAAGATCCGTCAAAATCGGTCCGGCCCTTTCAGAGATTAGCAAGAATAACAGACAAACATTTTTAAAATTAATTTATTCGCCCGTCATGATGAATTGAACAGGAAGTAACCACAATAGCTTCCAGGTGGTTGAGGCCATTCTGACATGGTACTTTGCAGGGAATGAGGCCACTACTTCCCGTTACTAACAGTCCCCTCTCTAACTATGAATTGAGTATGTACATGATATAAGCAGTCTATTGATTGATTTATTTTATCTGTTAGAGGGAGAGAGAAGAAGAAGACTCAGAGGGATCATTGGCAGACTTTATAGACGATGATTCAACGCCAGAAGTGAGTATCACAATTTTTATTTATCTGTTAACTTTTACATTAATGAATATATGTAGATAAAATGGTTTAACAACAATCCCTGCACTAAATTCAAGGCTTGTGTAGCAGGCAATATTTGATCCTAGCAAAACCAGAATACTATGGGTGTGTCTAATTATAGCTATATGTTTTATATTATGTAATTGTTTTGTCCGTGAGAGGATCAATAATAGAGTTTTTTATTAAATTATTGATTTATTTATAATAATAATAATCTCAGGATAAATCATACAGCGCCATCTAGACTCAAGTTAAGTTACCCTAGCTAAAGTTTGTGTTATGGGTACTAGATAACTGATATAAAAACACCCAGACTAATACAAACAACCATACTCATGAATACAAATGTTTATGCTGTGCTAGGAATCGAACTCAACCATCGGAAGTAAAACGGTGTGTTAAACCGCTAGACCACCGAGGTAGTCAATAAATTTATATATTCTTTATTGTACCAAATATTAAGATACAAAAGCAGCCTTATTGCTTATGCAATCTCTGCCAGACAACTTGTGAAGGATGGAGATCAAGACAACGAGCAAAGAAAATGGCACATGGCAATGGCGGTATAGTCGTAAAATATTGTAATTGACTGACGTATGTCACATGTAAAACAAGTGTTTATAAAAAATATAGACAATAAAAAAGGTTTATAAAACAGTTTCCAACATAACAATTAATTTATCTCCTATTTATTAATATTTTTATCGAATAGGAGTCGACAACAGAAGAATCAACCGACGACTCCTCGGACATGAGTGATGACAGTCACAAAAAGAATAAAAAAAAGAAATCAGGGAAAAAAACTAAGAAGGAACAAAAGGGGACTGCCCGGAGAGGGACGAGAGCAAACCCAGGTTAGTAATCTTATATTTTTTGTTTCTATGAATGATGTGAATATGATGCTCTGCATATATGTATATAGTTATATAGATAGTGCTTTACGAATACCACTTACCATCAGGTGGGCCGTTATCTTGTTTGATGGATATTATAGTTATAGAAAAAAGTACTAAAATTAAAATTAAACAAAGTTTTTTTATATAATTGCGGAAATCATATAAATTGTTAATGGTCAATTATTTAAAAAAAAATTACTAATTTCAATATATATTGAAACTAAGAATGTTCCACTGAAAATGATGCCATAAGCAATAATGTTATTTTCCGTTAAACGAGTGATTAATGTAATATAATATGACACTGCAAATATATAGAATATAATCTTGATTCATCATTGGATAATCTATATGTAAAAAATAAAAATTATCTATGTTCATGGAAGATATATAAGAAAAATTATTATCATCATTATAATAGAACGCAAAGCAAGTCTGTTATTTTCACCATATTGGTGACAATACAGCATACACCTGATTGTAAACGGTTAATATATAGACGTCTGAATCAGGGCTGTCATATGCGCGTTGAAACTACCCTTAAGGATCCTTAAAATACCATTCTTGAAATGCCTCATGCTATAGTCTCCATAAAAGCCCTTGGCAGGTAGTTCATCTGAGAGCTTGGAAGAAAACTGCATTAGTAGGCGCTAATCTCAAAAATGGCTTAACCGATGTAACTGATCTATGTAGGTCGCAATGCTACAGGTCTAAACATCTGACAATAGCCCAAATCCCTCAATAAAAATAAAAAACCGATGTGGGTGCGGTTATCATTGATTCCACATCACTTAATTTTAAATGTTTGTTTATTATATTTTGTTCACATTTGTTAGTTGCGAAGTTACGCTGTTTTAACTATTTAATAATTGTAACATAACTATTATTATATAGTGGAAATTGAAGACGATGATATACCTGAAGTAATGGAAGTGAAAAATGAGAACCCAACAGAGTGGTGGATCAAGTTGGTTTCTGACGATGAACTGGAGGACATGAGAAACTCACACAAACTTGTGCTGCTTTTCGACATATTGCGGCAATGCGAGACCATTGGTGATAAGTTGTAAGTACAGCGGAAATAAATATAATTAACTCTTATTTAACACTAGCTGTGCCCGTAGTTTCACCCACGTATGTTATTATGATGTATAAGCTATATTACTGTAAAGTTTCATTAAAATCCATTCAGTAGTTTTTGAGTGTAAGATTAACAAACAAGCATCCATCCACAGCTAGTATATGTATAAGTAAAGTATATTTCTTTGGGGGCGATGAACTGACTAATTCTGTTAAATTTGAATAAGAAAAAATTAAGGACAGTGTTCATTCAAATACATATATCTTTTCAACTTTTCAGACTCGTATTTTCGCAGTCACTGTACTCATTAGATCTTATTGAACATTTTCTTGGGAAAGTAGACGAAGCCACACAAGAGGGGCGTATCGATGAGAAATTAGGAAGTCATGTTGGTGAGTACTTGTTGAATTTTTAATTAATTACCAAGAAAATCTTTCAATGCCATTACTTGTGGCGTGAGGATTGGCCAACCAAAGCTGTTATTTGTAAATTGTGTTTTAGAATAGGATAGAATATTCTTAATTCAAATGAAATTTAAGCATTTTAGAGTACTTCATAGTTATACTTATTTTTTAATCTACCGCTCGTTCGGAAAGCAGTTTTGATGTAGTAGTGGAATTACAATATACGGGAACATAATCTCAGTGCCCCTGAATGACAACGCATGAGAGATAGATCACGGGACGGGCGTCACGTGATGATGTGATCGCGCTTTCGCGTATGTAGGCGACGGTTGTTTGATTGTTTAGATATAATTAATTGTTAATAGAATAAAGGTGTAGGTGATATATTGTGCCTAAATTTATAGATACACTATGTTGGTTCCATTCCGTTCATGGAAACCTCAAACGAAAAATTAATCGACACTGACTTTACAGGTTCATGGTCACCAGGAGTAGATTATTTTAGATTAGATGGGTCCACATCATGCGAAAATAGGTCTATTTGGTGCAAGAATTTCAACAGAGAAGATAATCCTAGAGCTAGGTATGATATTATAATCCAATATATTATGTAGGATATAAGATGCTTATTTTAATTTTTAATATTGTCTTTGTTTTGTATTTGAATAGTCATGTAATTTACTGTACTGTAAATTTAAGTAATTGTTTTTTTATACTAATAATTAAATATTAGTGTAGTGTGTAGTAGTATTAAAAATAAATAATTTTATACTAAAAATGCCTTGGGATTGTTGTGAGATTCTTAGTGTTTGGACTAGTGTCCTCATTGCTAATCTATCCAGTTGACCTGCACACGGTTCTCCAGGAATGAATTCCAAGTCATCAGGGTTAATTCCTGTTGAATTTTCTGATGAGCTGACTGATTTCACTTATTTCGTATCCCACCATTCTCCACTGGTGCCACGTCAGCTTATTTCGTAGCCGATAGCTGGTATAACATTCCATAATTAATAAATAATCGATGAATAATAAAATGATTTGTATTAATACTATTACACCATGTATGTTGCAGATTGTTCTTAATATCTACGAGGGCAGGTGGGCTCGGCATTAACCTGGTAGCTGCGAATCGCGTCGTCATCTTCGACGTCTCCTGGAACCCTTCTCATGATGTGCAGAGTATATTCAGGGTCTACCGATTCGGACAGAAAAAACCATGTTATATATATAGGTTTCTTGCTATGGTGAGTTTATAAATAAATAGCTGGGGCTGGCCATTTCGCCCAGGTTTTCATAACAATCTGAATCAGTTTCCTCAAGAGCAAGGGGTTTTATATTCAGGTTTCTTAAAGGTCGGCAACGTGCCTATGGACTATGGACGCCTGAAACATCAGGAGTATCACGTGCGCATTGCCGACCCTTAACCTTAACATACCCTTCTTGAAAACTCCATGCTGTAGTCTCTTTAGAAAACCTCGGCAGGTAGTTCATTCCACGATCTGCGGGAGGCGGCTTCTCTCAAACCGCACCATCTAAGATCACTTAGGTTCTAGCATGAGGGGATAAATTCCCTGACGATTGCAAGCGTTGCGATGGTATAATGGTGATTGTGACAATAGGGCACAATGGAGGAGAAGATCTACGAGCGTCAGGTGACGAAGCAGGCGATATCGAAGCGCGTGATCGACGAGCAACAAATCGACCGGCACTACGCGGAGAACGACCTCGCCGAGCTCTACAAGTTCGAGCCAACGCCGCCCTCGCCCAGGCAGCTGCCACCGCTCCCCAAGGACAGACTGTTCGCGGAGATGCTCAAGGAGCACGAGGCACAAGTAATGGATATTTTAGAATACGATAGAGTTCCTTGTTTATAGCATAGGTGACAAACGAGCTAGCAACTCATAGTTTGATAGTATCTGATTACCGCAAGTTGGAATTGAATTGCAAGTGTAAAAGTCCGACATTTTAAGAAGAAATAATCTCTTTTCTTATCGGTTTGGAAATATTATTGCTGGAAGGTGATTTCACAATATCACGTGGGAAAAACAAAAATAAAAAGATATAATTTTTATTCAAATGATAATAATATCTCAGGACAATTTACAAGGTCCCATCTAGTCCCAAGCTAAGCATAAGTAGAGTTTGTGTTATGAGTACTAGATAACTGATATAAATACATAGATATTTTTATTGTAAATACATACATAATATACATGAAAAACACCCAGATCGATACAATCATACTCATGAATATAAATGTGTGCCTTGCGAGGACTCGAGCCCGTGACCATCAGAAGTGAAGAAAAATTTCTTTCCCTGCAATTTAGGTATATTTCATGTAACATATTGATTTCAGATCTACAAGTATCATGAGCACGATTCACTGTTAGAGAACAAAGAAGAGGAGACATTAAGTGAAGAGGAACGCAAAGCGGCCTGGGAAGACTTTGAGAATGAGAAGAATCGACCGCCGCCCGCGCCTTTCCCCTCTGCCTGGCCCATGCACAATGGAATGGGTTAGTTTCCTTTTATTTTAGAAAATGGTTACCATTCTGTATAGACTCTCCTGAGGGACTCTCACTCATAGATAGTTAATGTTATAAGGAGTATGGTACTTTTATTTTAATAAAAAAAGTTTAATTCCTTGAATATGGTAATGAGAAAGAAGAAAGTTTGTCAGATCAGCTAGTATTTTTGTATTTTTCTTATTGTGTAAAACCTCTATTTCAAAACAAATTGTATTAAGTGAATATGTAAATAAAAAAAAAAACCATAGTTCCAGGATTGCTGGCACAACAACAACAGCAGTTGGCGTATGCAGCATTAGCGGCAATGTTACGGAAAGACATACCCAACATTAACGACAATCAGATACGGGACATGCTGCCACTTATATACAACAGTAATCCACAGGTATGTATGTAACACTACCGAGATCCTTCCGATCGATCCCTCGTCTAATTCTAATGGGGATCGAAATTACGACGGCCTGAGCCAAGGCGTATGCGTCAGGCGGGAGTTGGCCTTCAGCGGCTCTATAAGTCCTTCCATCTGCCATCTGCACTCGCCCCCTATCGTCCGGTGAAGCTGTAAAGGCCAGATGCGGCCAACAGCCAACAGCATTAGAGTAATCCGAAAAAAAAACTACAGAGGTACACTATGAAAAAAGTCGTCAGTGTGCACCTCTGTGTGCTTATTTCACCCGCTAAGTAGCTTGCATTGTAAGTTGAGTTTCGGTTGAAGGCAGAGATCATTGTTGCAATGGTATTCTCTTATTTTCATGACAAATTACAAGATGAAAGGCAGATATCTCATAAAGACGTAATGTCTGTGACGCTATTTATGTATATAGGCGCCTATTATAGACTAGTAGGCCGTCAGTATGTTTATTAGTACTTAACAGGAAAAAAAACATATTTTACGTTAATTTCTTTATTTAACATTCGAAAGCTTATGTTCTTTACAATATGAGTGGGATACACATTTCCTTTTTGTGAGATTTTAGTTATATAGTATGTACGTAGGTTTATAATATGTTGGTAAAAGAGAGACACTAAATGCAGCCAAATAATTGTCAGAAATTCAAGACTGGGGTATTTTGAAATAACTTCAAGTATTGTAAGGTTCCTAAATATTGTATGATGAATGAAATTTTATGTACATATAGAATAGGCCTTATATTGATGATGATGCCTCTTAGTGAGTCTTAGTGACTTAAGTTTGTATTCAGCTTCTAAATAAAACGTGATACAAAGAATAGCTTTAGAAAAAACATCTATCAAAGGAACAACAAAATTTAAATTACAATGTACAACATAATACAACAGGCCTAGTCAAATAAGAGATGTCAAATGATAAAATATCTGCACGACTGCAAAACTAGATGATTTGTCAGAGATATAGTTATATATGTTTTTATGTTTATGCAATTGAGATGCACACATTTTACTTGTAATTTTTGTATTTTTTTCTCTACGACCTTCCTTATATTTGTATATTATATGTAGTTTCTTTTAATCTATGCTATATCTGTAGAAAAATAAAATGTTTTAAATGGAGGTTATATTAATTGGTATAACATTTATCTGTTCAGATGTTCGGTGGATATGACTATGGCGTAAGTTTCATGTCGATATTACTAGTCCATTGGATGTCGTACCCAGGGGGCTAACACGATCATTTTACTGGATTTTTAAAAAAGTGATGACATTAATAACTAACAAATCTGTTTATGTGATAATCACATAAAGTGCACATTTTGCATGATCGGACAAAGTGATTATTTTAGCCTCCTACTCTAAATAATACTATTTATTTAATATTGAAGTCTATTATATAATATTTTGATATATTTAAATAAACGTGTATAAAGATGGTGTTGATGTTCACAACGATATAGAACCAAAGATATAATATAAATAAAACGAAAAATATTGTAACATCTTTAAGAAATTACTATTATATATTATTCATGTGTAATGTTTATTAAAATTAATAATCTGTTAACAGCTGATGCAGAAAATGAGTGAAATGTACAAGTACACACAACCTGGTATGATGAATCCGGCAATGATGAATGCTGTAATGAATCCCAGTAAGTACAGATATAGTAATTAATTAATTAATATGCCTTAAAGACTTTGAAAAACTTTGAATTTGAATGCCTTAAAAACTGTTATCCCAGATGGGTAGTTAAAGACATTATCAACTGTTGATGTCGTGATGAATTTAATATTTGACATGCCGACATATCGCGGTATATTTGAATCCAATGTGGAACGAGGCGGACCTACCGCCCTCTCTCGGATTTCGTTTGTTTATTATAGGTCACTTTTAAAATATATATATTTTATTTCACGTATTTTATTTTAGAGACATGTCTAAGACTTATAAATTATAAAATGTATAATTATCTCTATAATTATGTTTTTACTTCATAATCAAATGTCTACCAATTTGCAATGATATTTAATTATTAAAAAGACGCTAAAGCTCGCACACTCCAGCGTACTTCAATCGTGCGTGGCTGGCGTTGTGCGCAGTCTTTCTTGTTCTCTTAGTTTACATTTACATAATGTGTATGTCTTTCCTGCGTGAAAGCCTATTAGCGTGTAAAAGAGCGTATGTGTAAAGGCAGTTAATAGGTTGCCAACTTTGCTGGTATTCAACTGGTTTGTTCCACTGGAATGATTGATATATTAAAAGAGATATGTAACGTAGGTGGAGGCGGTGGTGGCGGTATGGGCGGCACCAGCAGTCTGCAGTACGAGCCGCCGTGGCAGCGCCAACAGCAGCAGCAGCACCAGATGCGGCTCCAGCAGCTGCTACAGCAACAACAGAACGTATGTGACATCGTAACCAATATTATATAAAGAGTGTATATAGTATCTCATTCATTGGTTGTCATAGATATACTTAAAAATATTTGTAACAATTCTATAGAACAATCTACTAAAAAACTAAATTCCTTAGGTATTCATTAAAGTTACTGTTTAAAGTTTTATAATTGTAGTATTAGATGTTTAGATTTTTTTGTAGAATTATTATAAATGTCATGCTTGAGTAACCTTTTTATCTTTTTGACTCTTGTGCGTCATAAAACACACATACGTGTTCGTTTGCGTGCCATGGTCACCTTCGTTACATCATCCGTCACCGGTATCCTGGAAGCGTATACCTTTATTGCAGGCGGGAACAACTATATCTATGTAAAAAGTGGCCGCGTTTCGAGATACTTTCGAGAGCAACTAGTAGCTATGTAAAATGTGTCGATATAAGCTAGTCGGTCGTACAGATGGGGGCGAAGTACTACGCGGGCGGGCTGGGCAGCCGCGACCCGGTGGCGATGGCGCTCCAGCAGCAGCGCGCCCGGGAGATCATGGTCGGGGAGCGCGGCGCCGCCCCCGCCCCCGCCCCCGCCCCCGGCGCCGGCGCCGGCAGGCCGCGCGGCCGGCCCCCGCACCACCCGCGCCCCACGCCCGCCGCCGCACCCGCCCCCGCTGACGTCGTCAACCTCGACTCCGACTAGTCAGTACACACACATACTTGTATCCACGTAATAATAATATCCATATATTCTATTTTTAATTTTAGCATTTTTAAGGTGAAATGTGTGAATGTACGCTATGGTATATGTTAGTTTGTCTTCATACATCAGCATGGAGTTTTTCGAGAAGGGTATATTAAAGTTTCTTAAGGGTCGGCAAAGCGCATGACACCCCATTTCTGGCGTCCATAGGCGACGGTAACCGTTTACCATCAGATGGGCCGTATGCTTGCTTGCCACCCTAGTAGTATATATAAAAAAATGCTAAAAATGTAGTTATAAATAAATTACTTAAAAGACTAGCACACTAGTTTCTTGCTCATTCGTTTTCTGATGAGACAGCTTTCAAAATAAGGGGTAGATTAAAAAAATAAGTAAAAACTATTCAAAAATGCCCAAGTATGTAATTCTATGCGCCTAATATGAAAGTACTATTTCGAATTTTAGGGGTGTGTCGCCGTAACCATACTGGGGGGTTAGAGGATCGTTAGTAATAAGATTTAGTGGCCCTGTTACTAATAAGATTTAGTGGCACTGTTACTAATAAAGCAAAACTATTAAATAAAAATAATGCTCAAATATAATTTAGAAGCCTAATGTTTACTGTTCAGCATGGCTATAAATTCGACAACAATGAGATAAAGATCACAAATAGATATCGCTTATAGTAGTGGTGCTCATGATTCTGTACTGAATGATTGTGGTTTCAGATATGCTAATGAAAAAAAAATTTTACTTACTAATTAATGAAATGGTCTTCCTTCAAATAACATCTAATTCAATAAAATGATAATAAAATCTAATAACTTATATTTCATAAATGTATTTTAAAGGTCCACAATATTTGCAGGTTTCAATACCACAATAATTGTCTATTTTATTTGCAGGTTCAACTGTGTATAATGAACTGATGTGTATAGTGAACGATATATAAGGTGCTACGTGTCGTCTGAAACAGTGCGAGGTTTTTATGAGGCGCCGAATCTAACGGGCGACGAGCAACAGGTTCCGACGTCGCCCCATACGGTTATAACAAGCACAGAGGCATACACATAAACATCGTGTTGCCACGCAACTGCTACGACTTCCCAGAATGAGCACTGGCGGGTACTGTGTCGGTAAAGTTTTCACTCTGCGTATGTTGTCCTCTGTGGTATAAACAGAGTCTGTGCTGCGGCGACGCCTGGCCAAACTGAGCAGTGATATATGCAAACGGTAGATGTAGCTTTCGCCTTGAGGCTTGCGTTTGACCACATATCATGAATCTCAATTTTATTCTCGTCTCCACTACAACGATGGTAATGATAATTTTAAATAATCTATATTTCGATACATGACTTATGATTGATATGACAAAAAGGCGCGATAATCGCCTCTCGGCTTACGAAGAAAGTTTAAAAAAAATACAATATATGATTAAACAACAAAAATAACAAAACTGAATGACTTTATAGAAAATACATGTAGATTCTATTACACAATGAAATTTTATGTGATGGAATTGTTATCTCAGTAGAATACCTTAGCCGCCGTCATGTTAACATATCAAGGAATCTCGTCTTTGTGTTTGTGCGTACATACAGTTTGTCCTACTTAAAATTACAAACAACGGAAGCCTAAGGCGTAGATGTAACATTAGGACGCGCAAGATTGTCATATTTTAAGTATAAACAGGATTATATATGCTCAAACTTAAATTGTGACACTTGTGCATTTGGTATATAAACATTCTGTGATCTGACACTCGAATTAATGTCGATTTTCTTCGTTCACTTCGTGTGAACATAAAAAATTGGCTCATTAGATATTAGTAAACACTATCACACGGCTTTCGAGTCATTGTTTTTTCAAAAATGTACTTGAATGTACGTTTGAAAAATGCTTTAATTCCATTACATCACTACATTGTATCGTAAAACGCCTGTATGAATAATCATATTTAAATTTCATAAATCGTAAATTATTAGTAGGTACTTTGAGTGTCAGATTGATAACTTTAAATATCTCTCAGTACAGGAACTTAGTATTAAGTGTACTTATGATATATGTGAGTAGCTAGAGAACTTGTGTGTATCGGCATTATGCTAAGGGGCCCTTACTAAGTTAGGTCACATGATTTTCATGATTTTTGACCCGTCCTCGTTTATCACGGTTGGTTGACTCATTAATATGACATATTTTACATGTAGTAATGATTAAATTAAGTAGTTTGAAATTGGTTTTATTAATAAAACATAGATTTTTAGTTATTTTTAAACTTTCTTGTTTAATATTTAAATTATTTATATTATTAACCGGTTCTAACATGAATAATTTTATGGTATTTAAATACATTTTTAAATGTCATGTCATGGAATTTATGTAATCCCACTCTTTGTACACCGTTTTACTTCTGATTATCGCGGGTCCTATTCCTCGCACGATGCAAACATTTGTATTAATGAGTAGGATTGTTTGTAACGATGTGGGTGTTATCTATGTATTTTATGTATGTATTTACAAAATAACTAAGTACTTATATCAGTTGTATAGTATCCATGACGTAGCTTAGCTTGGGACTAGATGGCGCTGTGTAAATTGTCCCGAGTTATTATTTTCACTTAGTCGACCGCCTCCAGTCTTATTAAAGTGTGACGTAACTTATGTATAGCCCCTAACGAGAGAATCGATCGACTTACGCCTACCTGCACCACTGTCCGCACTTGTGGACAGTTCAGTATAGTTGTGTACATTATTATGCTATTATTGTAATTGGAACACCAATCTAAATTAATATTAATGTTATATATTTATTTGTGTATCAATTAATTTGTGATTCGAATGGATAGATATTGCTTGAGGATATATGAGTAAAACAACTTGTGACATAGAGCAGACGTGAGCATAGAGAAATACTCAAACTATTGCCAATTTATGAAGCTACATTGTGAATTGTATTACATGTTGTTTTGTTTCTGATTGAAAATTATAAGTGCTGAATCAATTAGGTAACTATCGCCTATGAATATATTTGATATGATTTTGGAAATTGTAAAAAAGAATCATTTTTTTAATATATACCGTTAAGTTTTATTTACAGGTGGATGGTAGATGTAATATATAATTATATAGTGGTGATATAGTATGTATACATAGTAACAGAATGCGATATTGTATGGTATGTTGCATCAAAAGACAAAAGTTTAAATACATATGTATATATATATATATATATATATAAAATAATACATTATAAATTTCAACTTAGATGTAGAGAAATAAGTTCTGATTATATTTTATAATCGTTTGAAATAAAAATACAAATAGTTTCAATGCACAATTATTTTTTATTTGGAAATATAGTCATATCTCACAAACAGTACATTTTGACATGTCCACCTGTAATATATTATAATAAAAAAATAACTGAACATGTTTTTAGTAATTATTTTTAATTGCATGCAATATAACAAATAACATCCTATATATTTTCTTAATTTATATTCAAAGATGACAATCCAGCAATTAATGGCTGCTCAATGTTGATTTGCCAGGCAAACAAGTATACCAGCTGTTTTGTTGGGGATAAATATATTCATGTTTCTTGCAGGTGATCAGCAAGTATTGTGTATGGCGAAAACTGTTTTATTATTTATTTGACCTGATTATTTCAGGTGATTTAGTTGTGATATTGCCTAATCTTAAATTTTTGTATACGTTTACTTTTATTCGAGTCACCAGTGTGACTTTAATGTTAGATGCAGCAATTGTAGGATTTAAATAATATAGATAATAGATTAAACTAATTATCAGTTTGACATAAACAGCATTTTGTGGGTGGTTTAAGTTTTTATAACAAGTTTTTAATTTACAGATTTCATAGAATTTATTCATAAGATAATTATTTATAGTTATATATATATATAATATGTTAAAAACAAACAGTATTTCAGTTAGTGTTTTAAGATTGTTTTCTATAATTTAGCACATAATGACTTATCATTATAATAACAATAGTGTCGCTACATGATTATTGTGAGGTTGCTGCATATGAGTGAGGACTGCTGTAATTGTTTCATTATTTATGTAATATATAACTGTAGAAAACTTCCTATTATTTTGTAGTACAATTAAAGTGTAATAAATAATTTTGAAATGTGTTTATGACTTATCATTTATTGAATTTGGCAAAAAAGAGTACAAGTAATAATTTTATTTTACACTAACTGTACCCACGGTTTCAGCCGTGTGGTATCAATAGTTATATTATCAACAGTTGTAAGTGATCTCGGTGTTTTCATAATCGGAAATAATCAATTATACATTTACATTATTTATGAAGGAAAGTCAGAAAATAATTCTATATCTGGAGAAGAACAGAGTTAATGAAGCACTCCCAATTGTCTTGCACTGAGTATTCAACGATCTTGTTAGTTAACTTCCAGAGATACATATTATGTATGTAATTTGTGGGATTTTGTGAGCATATTGAGAAAGTGTAAGGATTGCCTAGTTTTGGTTGTAAATAAATAAATACAAAGGTGTATTCAATAATCCATTTACTTATTGTTGCGAATTATAAATGACTATAAGAATATAAAAAGGTCAAACAACCTTTTTCAAGTTACATGGGATGTACATAAAGAATTCACCAGTTTCATCAAAATTGGATAAATGGACTAGGAATGCATAAAGAATTTTAATGAAAAACATAATTCTTTGAGTAATTTTATTTATCAAACTATATAGTAGATAACATTATATACTATTGTTGCTTCAATCACATGTTATTTACTGTTCCATAAAGTATATAGTGAAATTATTCCAAAATTAATTCCTTTTATTCATTTTCAGTATAATATAGTATGACATATATGTATTTTAAGTTTAAGTGCACATTGTTAGATTGCTCCGACAGTGAAAGCGTCTTTATATACAGAGTTTTTTGAGATTTCCAGAAACTACAATACTTGTATGTAGATTGCAGATGCTTCCAAAATTGTAAGAATTATAACATTCCAGTTATCCATTTACATACATTTCACACATTTAAATTAGGAATTCCAGTTTTGATACCCAGTGATACTTCCATATATTTCAATAATTTTCGTGCTAAAAACATAGCTTCTTCAGATTTGTAAACATTTGATGTTAACAATTCCAACTTCAATTCTGTGTGAAAACTAATCAAATCTCCAGCACTCACAGCCATTCCATTTACCGGCAATCCACTAGCGTTCACAAGTATCAATCGTCGACTTCGAAGATCAGGATGAACTTGGTTCAAAACTTTTTTTGTCCATTCTAAACAAGAGATTCTACTTGTGTCCAAGGCTAAAACTACGAAATCTATTGCAATTTTACCCGTTATATCTGTCTGCCTGACGATTTCTTCTAAGTGAAATGAACGTAATAGTATCAATTTCCACCTAAAGTTGCCTTTGGCGTGAACTTCTTCAATGGCAACTGCGATCTTTCCAATAATTTCAACATTTGATGAGAGTATGATGACTGTTAAACTGTTTCTGCAGCATGTAGGACCCACCCAAGGGGCTATAACTGTATCTTCTTCAATTGTAGACATTTTTTTTTATACTTTGTAAACTATTTCAATATTTTCAACTTAAGATAGATTTCAAATTTGAAATAAAAATAAAATAAAACCATTAAACTGAATTCAAAGAGACAAACGGTTTCCTTAAGTCACTGTCATTAATTGTCAACGTCTACATATGACATGTGCTACTCTGTTCTATGATTAGTACTTTGTTATGTTATTGTGATGTAGAGGTTATGTTAGTTATTGTTATTTTGAATTTTCTGAAATGCCAAGTTTTATATTTATTAATTTAATTTAGTTAGAAAATAAATTATTATTCTTCTAAAATATATTATTCTAAATATTACGATCTATTTAGATTAAATAATTACATATTATATGGCAGATACAATTTATTTTCACAAATAATATATTGTTTAATTTTTAGGTTTAAAGAATGTTCTTGTGTTGGTTCACTTTATTTAATTATAATTATTGTTGCAAACTATAGGAACATATATTATATATTGAATTACTGAGCCGGTATGATTGTCGTCAGGAAATAATAGTCCAGAAATTTTAATATAATGTGGCGAAGAGATAATAAGTTCCCAGAAAATGGGTTTGAGGCATGGGGTGGATATATGCAAGCTAAAATTAATAAGCTTGAAGAACAGTTTTCTTCCAGAGCTGGAAATGAAGCGAAAGAGAGTAATATTTTCAATGGTGTAAGTATTTATGTCAATGGGTTTACAATACCATCTGCAGATGAATTAAAAGCTCTTATGGCTAGCCATGGAGGAGTCTATCACACTTACCAAAGAAGTGACGACTACATAATTGCTTCTAATTTACCAGACACGAAAGTAAAAAACATGTCCCTAACTCGAGTAGTGAAGCCTGAATGGATAACAGATAGTATCAAGTTCAATAAATTGTTGGACTATAGACAATACTTACTATATCGGAACTCCGTTACACAGCCACAACTAAATTTCATGAAAATTGCTAAAAATGAAAGGTATTCAGTTGAAAATTCTCTTCAGTTATCAATAAATGATATTGAAATAGAAAATAAGAATAATTCTGTGAAAAAGGAAGAAAATAAGGAAATAGAAAATATTGTTGTTTCAGATGCAACAACTGGCAATATACAAGAAATTACAAATATTAATAATTTAACTTCAATTGTTCAACCAAAAGTAGAGAATGATTCTAAGTTTAATATAAATGAGATTAATAAAATTAGTCAAGTCACAAAGACAGCAGCTGATCCTAACTTCATTTCCGAATTTTATAACAATTCAAGGTTGCATCATATATCACAACTAGGTGCATGTTTCAAGCAGTATGTAAACGATCTTAGAGAAAAGAGTAATTTTTTGTTTCCATTACGTGCTAAGATGAAGGAAGGAATATTATCATCAGTTGAGCAATCCAAATCATCACAATTAAATTTTGAAAAAGGAAAAGTCATTATGCATATTGACATGGATTGCTTTTTTGTATCGGTTGGATTAAGAAATCGACCAGATCTCCGTGGTAAACCTGTTGCAGTTACTCATTCCAAAGGTGGACAGTTCAGATCTAAGAGATCTGGTGTTGATAGGAATACAGAGTTCAAGTTATATAGACAACGGCAAGCTAAACAAATTGGTAAAGCAGCAGGAATACCTGAAGATGAAGTAGAATTTGAAAGTAGAGTGGATAATGTTGGAGATGAGGATGATAAATATGGTTCATTGAGTGAAATAGCTTCATGTTCCTATGAAGCTCGTGCTAAAGGCATTAGCAATGGTATGTTTATGGGGGCTGCTTTAAGACTATGTCCTGATTTACAAACAATACCTTATGATTTTGATGGTTATAAGGAGGTGGCATTTAGTTTATATAACACCATAGTACAATATACATTGGACATAGAAGCAGTATCTTGTGATGAAATGTATGTAGATTGCTCAGAGCTATTAAAAGATATAGAAATAAGTGTACAAGATTTTGCAACATATTTACGGACAGAGATAAAAAGTAAAACTGGCTGTCCATGCTCTACTGGGTTTGGTAGTAATCGTTTACAGGCTAGGTTGGCGACAAAGCACGCCAAACCTGACGGCCAATTCTTTTTAGTTGCTGAATTAGTTGAAGATTTTATGTTTAATATCAAACTCAGAGATTTGCCAGGCGTGGGAAGGCAAACAGCACAAAAATTAGAGTCCATAGGACACCAAACTTGCGGTTCTTTGCTATGTTTATCTTTGGTCAGTTTGCAACAGCATTTAGGGAACAAGACAGGATCATTATTATATGATCAGTGTAGAGGACGAGATCCCATTCCATTATCCTTTTTTACTGTGAGAAAGTCTGTTTCAGCAGAAGTCAATTATGGAATCCGATTTGAAAATAATACACAATGTGAAGAATTTTTGAAGCAATTGTCTCTTGAAGTACAGAGTAGAATGCACCAATACAAAGTTGTAGGAAAATGTATAACTTTAAAACTTATGATTAGAGCTGAAGATGCACCAGTGGAAACAGCCAAATTTTTAGGACATGGGTTTTGTAATGTTATTAACAAGTCATCCTCATTAAATAATGCTACAAATGACTCAGATGTTATAATGAGAGAAACAATCTTGCTATGGAAAAAGCAACACATTGATCCTAAAGAAATGAGAGGTGTGGGTATTCAAATTACAAAATTAGAATCTGTTAATTTTAAACCATTAAAAGGTACTATAAATAAATTCTTATTAAATGTTAAAACTAAGACAGAAAATAAACGTGAATCTCTAAATATTCCACATGGATCTGAATCAGCAAATTTGAATCAATGTAAACAGGAACTTAGCATAGAGAATAATTTAAAAACTACTCTTGCCTCAGCTAAACAGAAATCACCTGTAAGCGGATTGATGAAATCTCCATTACGGAAACGTGGAAGACCACCAAAAAATGCGAAAGGTCATATTCCTTCAAGAAATCTTGTAGACAATTTTATAAAAGGATCACTTAAAAAAGATACACCTTACAGGGATCCAATGATTAATATAGTAAATCACGAAAAGGAAGTAATTCAAAAGGAAGAGAAATCAGAAGGGTTACTTAGACTTCCATGGGAAAAAATCCGTGAGTTGCTAAGAGCTTGGTTGGACAGCGGTCAAACACCGTTGCTATTGGATGTCAGTATGGTATCTGAATACATGTGTGAAATGGTCGCAAACAGAAACATTGAAAAATTGTATGTTCTAGTTAAGTTTTTGAGAAGAAGAACTAGTGAAATTGGTAGTGAAGCCTGGAAAGAAGTTTACAGGAGTATCATTGAAAATGTGCAAAATGCTATGATAGCTGTTTATGGTAGCCCCTTATTTATAGATTGATAACTTCAATAAAACAATTCCAATAATGTCATATATTTATTTTATTATTTTGATATTTTTTCTACAGACAAAAACAATATTTTAAAGTTTATTAAACAAAAGTTACTGTATACACTGCCATTGTAAGCAATTTTATTTTCAAAAATTTGGCAGCTTCACAAATCACAGCAGTAAAGAGTAATATATCGCGTCAAAGTTACGTCTGACAATAATAACTTTTAAAATAGTTAATTTTCATATTCAATCAAAAGATGCCTATCTAATATCGTATCTTGAATATTAATTACAAATTGAAGACACATGGTATACATTTAGTTTGCATGGCAGTTAGTATCACTAGATATTGATAACTGATAAGCACTTTTATAAATAGTTTTAGGTAGGTATATAATATTTGAAATATATTTACAGAAGTATGCATAGTGATCTGACGTTTTGTGTAAAAATATATAAGTAGTACAATTTAGAATTTAATAATAATTTAGGCACTATCACAGTTGCTTATTGCAAATAAAATTAAGGTTCATATTCACACAGAATTTTACAATTCAAATTGCTAAATTTTACGCATTAGGCGGTTTGTAATTTTTAAAACCCATCGATATTGCATAAGTACCTAATGTAAAATAGATGTAGTTTCAGACATACTTCGATCTAGTTTCTTTGACAACTATTGTTTAATTTCTCTTACAAGTATTGTGCATGAACTAATATAACTATAGGTACTTTAAATAAAATCATGCTCTTCAAGCTTACAGCTTTGCACCAACTAGAAACTAAATGCATTAAGGACAACCATTGCTAATTACATTAAAAGTACAATATACCTATAGGTAAATAATTTGTGACACGAGGCAGAAAAAAATACATAATTTTAATAAATTAAAACTCATCCCAAGTAATTTGTTAGTATACAAACATGTAAACGTTATTTACACTTAGTTGGATCCGTAGACGATGAAATTTATAACATAAATATAATTAATTTCGCCAATTACACAAAAATGTGCGTTATCTGTTTGTTTCAGAATTGTGGCAACATTTTGGCTGAAATATTTGGTTGGATATTTTGTTTTATACCAGTACAAGAGACAAAATATCCCGAAACATACGAAATGGCATTAGAGAGTGTCCTAACACTTGCCTATTTAAGATTAAATTTTAATAGTTTCACATAATTTCTAATATGACTAGGTAAAATCATAATAGATTGTTAAATGATAATACCAGTATTTAAAACAAATTCACGCAATAAACTGCCGTTGTTCGACATGCGAGTATAACATAGTGCCACCTACAATGCACAACACTGAAAGGCAACTAGGGAATTGTTCTAGTTATAGGCTATAACTATCTAATAACAAGTAGATACATTGTGTAGTCTATGGACAGTGATAATAAATTATTTCTATATCATTAACAGGGGTTTAATTATGTAACACGATTGCTAACAATTCTCAATTGTAATAGATTCATATCTTCATTTATGTAGAAATTGATTACAGTATAGCAACTAAACTGCAACTCTTAAGTAGTTCATAAAAAACGAAACTTGAACAATTGAGAATAGTTACCAATTGTATTTCGTAATTAAGCAACAATTATAATATGGACTTTATTACCTATAAATAAAAGTGTAACATTGAAAACTGTTTGTTTTTTAACATTACACGTAAAACGACTGGAGGAATCACAATATTTTTTTTATGTTGTTAAATATGCGGGTAGAGGCTAAAGAAAGCTTAGGAAAATGCACCCTAAGAGGCGCAATTTGGATTTTTTATAATTTGTTTTAGTACACCATCTACTATTACATATATATATTTAAATATTGAACCGATTTTGAATATTCTTTTAGTGTTACAAAGCCCATTTATCGAATAATGTTATAAGTTATATAACATTAGAGTGGGAGCTGAGTTGCAAAAACAGTGAAAATGTGACGCAAAGTTACGTGCGTCAGCTAATTTATAATATAATATATATATTATATTATATATATTGTAATAATATACATATAATAAAATAGATGATGTAGTATAGTAGCTTTATTTATTGTTGTCGTTTGATACCTAATATCTCAGTAGCTGGCGATTTGAAAATATATGCGGCAGTAGTAATATAACAAAATACATTATTTCAACATACTGATAATAATTAAACTAGAGTGCATTGTAGGTCAAATTGTTACCAATTGCATACTAAGAGAATATCTAATAATTTTCTGATATCTGACGCTTTCCAAGCGAACCTCGTCCAATTACATGTGAAACAGCCTTACGTCACACAGTTAAGAGCGTCACTAACGAATTCTAGCATTTATCAATCTCAAAAACAATCCAATTTAGTATTATAACGCTTAAGTCTGTCTGTCTTTTATATTTTTTCACTATTAAACTGATAGCTGTTTCTAATGAAATTTGATGTGAAGATCTTTTATTATTGATTTATGATTGTTTAAAGTGCTAGTTTTGGTAGCAAATTAAAAAATGCACATATATACTTATTTTTATGGTAGAACATGTAAAACGTTTTATGACTGATTACAGTTTAATATACTGCTTTTTCAAGATTTCAATTATTTTTTATTATAAAATTACAATTTACAATGTTTACCATACAAATTAAATTTTACATCAATATCGATGTTGACTTACGTTTTAATTATATCATTGTTGCATGACTTACGTTTTAGTTCGCTACACATAGCACTTTTTAATTAACATAAAATATATAATAAACATCTATATTATAAAGAGACCCATTTTGATTTCTATTTTAATTTATGTATATTAATATGTACCAAAATCCATGACTCAAGGTTTAAAAAAATTCCGGTAGTAACGTACGACATTCTACGCGGTCAAAGCTGCAGGATAAAAGTAGTCTCCCGTAAATCATTGTTTTTGAAAATTGACAAATAATTCAGATATTGAAACTACTATAGTGCACGCTCTTAAATATATGTAGACAGCCTTACTTAATAGAAATGCATCCAACACTGTGGCGATGGCTTCACGCGGTCGAGTTAGCTGACACAGAGTGTTTCAGTTTTGAGTCGATGATTATTTCATCACCCGACCGTATGTTGTAGGAATACAGCTGCTTCGTTGGATACTTCATCTCTTCGGGCCCCTGGAAAAACTCCAGAAATAAAATACTTTGTTAATTTGTGATGAATTATATTTTTACACAATATTTGTACTAATATGGTAGAATATTTGGGAAATTTTAGATTAAAATATACAAACAAAATTACGATACCATAGTCCTCCTTTGGAAAGTATATACTATATCCTGAGGAGATAAAAACCATCGGGACAAAATGGTTTGTATCTCAGGATATAGTGACACGGGTCTAGGTAGCGAATTTTAAACAAGGCCGAGCACAGGTCGCTATGTTACAGGTCTTAGCACCTGACAATAAAACAAACCCCCCAATAAATATAAAAAAAGCTGGGGCGGGTAGCTAGTATAAATTCGAAGTCTTGATGAGAGTAATAAAGCAGTGAAATAAAAAATTATGGAGTAATCTATTAGTCCTTTGGAATGGCCGTTGCCGTTGGAAAGAGCAAGAAGAAGCGACTCCAATAACATAAAAAAGGACATATATTCACCTGGGTGTCTCTCAGCTCCTGATCGACATAGAACAGTCTCATCTTCGAAGCGGGGAAGCCTGCCAGTCGCTCTAGTCGCGTTTTCAGGTCGGAGACAGTTCTGAAAATTCCAATGTATTAAAGTTAATGCGATAATTGTGGCGTATATCAAAATTGACGATGCCGTTGGATTAATGGTTTTAGCACACCGTTTTATTTCTGATGATGGCGGGTTCTATTCCTTGCACAATTAAAATATTTGTATTCATATGTCATTGTTTGTATTGATTGTTTTCTATGCATATTAAATACAATTTTAAAATCATTTATATATGTAGGACATTTTAGCCACTTATGAACGTCAATGTTTTTAACCGTCCAGTTCAGTATCCAATTGAGAAGAACTGGCAAGAAACTCAATTGAATTTCTTACTTTTTTTGAAAGCCAGTTTATTTACAATATTTATTTATATATGTGTCTATGTCTAATATTAAATGAAAATCCTGTGCATGAACAACTATTGCCATGCACGCTCGTCAACATTCATATGTAAATACATAAAAACAACTTATACAAATACTTAAATACATTTTTTTGTAAATACAAAAAATGTATTCAAGTATTTGTATCAGTTGTTTAGTAGATCTACTACTTCTAGTGTAGACCGTTAGCGTAGGCAAGTTCAACATTCCATTATCATCCATTAAAAAAAAACAGTCGTTGACAGTTGATATACTTCTGGCTACCCCATTTAAGATAATGGCCTTGAATAACATTTTTTTTTATTTCTCTTGCACCCTTGTTAGGTAGTTAATCAGTAGGAATTTTAATGAATGAGCACCTGTAAACATCGATAGTCCTGACTTCACTGTTGTCCCCGCACGTGAAGGTGATTTGGACTCGCTTCTCTGGTCGAAGGTCCACTGACACCAATGGGTCCAGCTTACCATGGACGCCTACTAACTCCCAGTATCTGAAATTAAATTAAATGAAATTTATTTTGCGATAAACATAGGTCTACATGTAATTATAAAGATTATATAAAATTTAATGTCCCATTATGTTGCCTTATTAGGGATGCAAAATTTTAAATTATTTGAAAAGTAATTCATTATCACGGCATATCAATTATAAATACATACTTTTTTGTCTGTGTGTTTTCTATGTATATTATGTATGTATTTACAATACATATATGTACAATGCAGCATGTCAGGTTGACCTGCACGTGGTTCACCCTGGAAACCATCGTGATAAATTCATGGTGAATCTAGCACGATGTGTTAATTGACTAGACATGAGGCTCATCTTATCATCCTCCACTGATGTCCCGACAGCGTAAACCGAAGTAGCGCAGGCGTGTGCACCATTCCATTATCATTATTATTATTATTATAACACTTTATTGCACCAACATATAAAGGACATGAATGAATTAAAAACAAAAAAAAAAAAACTAAGTACAAAAGGCGGTCTTATCGCTAATGCAATCTCTTACAGACAAACTTTGGAAAGAGAGTCTTTACAAAAAAAAAAATAGAATAGGTGGCGCATTAGTGGAAACATAAAAATTGTATACACTTATGTAAACAAAATAAAATATAGTACATACACAAATTTACATATATATACATACATACGAATACACAATAATATAATATAATAATATAGTATACATCAAATAATTATACATAATCAAATATTACACATATAAACCAGAAAAAAAAAAAAATTATATCATACTAGTTAAAAAGTCACAGGTAACAGTGTAGAAGAAGGAAACATATTTACAAAGAGAGAAAATAGGATTTGACTAGATGTTTAAAAATGGCTGGGGACTGAGCATTACGTATGTAGGGCGGCAGCGAGTTCCACAAACGCACCGCCTGTACAGTGAAGGATTTTGTGTAGTAGCTAGATGTATGAGTAGGAGTCTTCAGCCGAAGGTTATTTGCACTGCGCAAACCACAGTTCTGCACCTCACCGAGAAATAAAAAACGTTCTTTAAGATAAGGCGGAGTAACAGGATTAAATAGGATAGAGTAGAGTAAACAGAGAATGTGCCAGTCACGACGAAGACGAATCGGGAGCCACTTGAGCTGAGAACGAAAATGAGATACGTGGTCATATTTACGTAATCCAAATATAAACCTAATGCATATATTTTGAAGGCGCTCAAGCTTGTTTAATTGGCTATCGGTGAGGTTCAAATAACACGTATCTGCGTAATCCAGGATAGGAAGGAACAAGGTGTGTGCTAGCGTAATTTTGGTGCTAAACGGTAAGAAATTACGTAACCGCTTCAGTGAACCCGCTACAGCAAAAATCTTTTTACTGAGCTCAGTAATTTGAGTCTTCCAAGAAAGTGTTTGGTCAAATTGAATCCCCAAGTTCTTAACATTTTCGCTATAGTCTATAGGTTCTCCGTTAAAAACAATGCGAGGAATAGAACTCCAATTTAACCTAGAGACATAGTGAGGGCTACCGATGATAATGGCCTGGGTTTTTGAGGGATTAACAATCAATCCAAAAGATTGGCACCAACTTGATATTCTCACTAAGTCTTTATTTATTATATTTATAGCAGAGCTGATGCTCTCTAAAGACGCTTGTGAATATATTTGTAGGTCGTCTGCATAGAGGTGGTAGGAGGAATGAAGTTCAAGAGTAATGGAGTTAATAAATAATGAGAAAAGAAGAGGTGATAAGACGCCACCCTGAGGAACGCCGGCAGAGGTATGGCACCATGAAGACAAATTATTGTCTATACGTATACGTTGCCGGCGACCATACAGGTAAGTTTGAAACCAGTCAGTTACGATTGGAGATATGTTAAGAGATCGCATACGTTGTAACAGGATATCAAAGTCAACTGTATTAAAAGCATTACTCAGATCGAGTAATGTAAGGACAGTGAGCTGAGAATTCTCCATCCCATAGCGAATATCGTCCGTGATTTTTATTAGGGCAGTTGTCGTGCTATGACCTGGACGAAAACCGGATTGGAAAGGGTTTAGGAGATCATTATTTGAAAGGAAATTATTTAATTGGAGGTGGACAAGGCGCTCAATAGCTTTGGATAAGAAAGGAAGAATGGATATTGGGCGATAGTCAGAAAAGGCGGACGGATTAGATTTTTTGGGAAGTGGAATAATGTGTGCATCTTTCCAAACAGAAGGGAACACACCAGAGGATAAGGATATATTGAAAATAGTTGTGATAATAGGAAGGATAATATCAAGGATAGGTAGAATCATAGCACGACTGATATCATCTGTACCGACAACATCAGATGTAATTGAGAGTAAGCTCTTCTCAACATCACAATTCGTAACTGAACTAAAAGAAAAAGATGAAATGGTTGGGGTTGGAATTGAGGAAAGTTGATTTAAGGTATTCGCTTTGATGTTGCTATTGATTGCAACTGAAGAAGAGAAATGCCTATTAAGGCTGTTGATATCTAAATCGATAGAATTGGTGACGCTATTTTTCCCGACCCCAAGAGATTTTAGAAATTTCCAGACTTTAGTCGGATTGCCATTCTCTATAGATTTGTGAATGTGGCGACGTTGTGCCTCTCTACACACCTTATTGCAGCGATTCCTAGCTCTAATATACTGTTCCCGATAGACGTCTGGGTTCAACTTAAATTTTGCCTTGGCTCTATTTTTTTTAGCTTGTAATGATTTTATTTCTTCTGTTAGCCAAGGTGCCGGTAAGTGCTTAACGCGAACTGGTCGTACGGGAGCGTGACGATCGTACAGCTCGGTAATAATGGAATTAAATAATTCTACCCGCTCATTGATTGAAGCCGCCTCATCCAAAGCATCCCAATCACACTCCGAAGCATCCTTACGCAGGCATTCTAAGTCAATAGCACCAAAATTACGCTGCAAGAGGATTTTGTGCTTACGTTTAGGAGGTCGAATTTTATAAGAGAGGAAAATGAGGTCATGACAGGAGAACGCATCTGCAGCACACTGGCCATGAGTCCCAACAAAATCCGGACGAGATACTAAAATTAGATCTAGCAAAGAGGGAGTGGAATTTGGAAAAAAATGAGTAGCTTGTAGAGGTAAGATGTCGAGATTGCAAGCGTTCACTACAGCCCTAAGACAGTTTGTGCGATGGTCATTCTTAAGTAAGCATGTGTTAAAATCACCCATAATGATAGTGTGCTCATAGGATGGGGTTAAATTTTCTAGGAGGTTTTCTAATGAGGAGAAGTAGTTAATGGCGGAAGAAGGACTATAAAATACACCAATAAGAATTTTTGTGTGGGAGAGACTAACTTCGGCGAAGAGATACTCAGCTTCGTGGGATGGATTCAGGTTATTTGAGGAATACACTATTTTGTAGGGAATATTTGTACGTAAATAGATTGCAACTCCACCACCGCCCTTGCCAATACGATCGTTGCGTAGGAGAACAAAACCTGGTAAAGAATAACTTGCGGAAGGCAAACAGGGGTTCAACCAGGACTCGGAGACGAAAATAGCGTGTATATTACTTACATCAAACGTTGCCAACATATCAGGGAAATGAGCCGGTATGCTTTGTGCATTAATATGTACAATATTAAAATTTTTAGGAACGTCGGAAAAAGTAGTATGTAATGTTTCATGTAAAGGAATGGGAATACTGTGAAAACTGTTGTTATCTGAAGAAGACGAGGAATAAATACTGTAGAAACTATCATCCTGCATGTCGTATTTAACCGTATGCTATTTTACTTATGACAATAAATTATAATAAAATATATCTATGTATATATAATATATAAAAAAAATATGATATGTAAATTATAACAAAATTAAGTTATATAAACTTATATCCACCCGCCAGTCATTATATAAAGTTAAAAATTACTTATCACAACAATTTCATTACAATTAAAAATTAAGATAGGCTAGTAAAAATAAACTACAACACGAATACAATTAAAAAGGCCCATTTAGAATTAAGGTTAAAAATAATAACATGCATGGCTAGATGAAAATAAAAAATAAAAAAAGTAAAAAAAACACAATGACAAAAATACTTGATTGAAGTCTCCAGTGCCGTAAAAATTACAAATAATTGACAGTTTTGACAGTGAGGACAACAGAAACGTCATACGTTAAAAACAGAGTCTGTGTTATTATTCTGGACAGGCTATAAAAATTATAGACACAAACAAGTCGGTGGAAAGTAAATTGCTAAATTTTAGTGACTTAAATTAAAAAGTAATAGTAGGTGAATCAAGATTCCTTCATTAAAATACACTTATTATAAAAATACCTGCAAGTCACGAGATAAGTAAGATAAAATGTAAACAAACTAACTATAAAGCAGTTTGAAGCCATGCATATTAAAATTTAAGGATTCATTTCTTCACTATGCGTTTTGACCGAGTTGCATTCACAGCAGTCGCCTTGGAGACAGTCAAAGCACTTGCCTCTGATGTATCATCCATATTATATGTAAGTATTTGTAAAAGCTATCTAGTATAACACAAGTTTTGGTTAACTTGGGACTAGATGTCGCTGTCCTGGGGTTATAAAAAAAAATAAAGCGTTGAGAATCATCTTATTAGCGAAATTCTGTAGTAATTTGGGTCAACTCGCCCACGCATCTCCTTATAGAAAGGACCTTCGAATCTATGCACATAATTAAACTCGAACCATACTAGACTGGTTGATATTGGAATTTCATTGAGAAAATATATTTTCTTAATATAAATAACCATAAATTAATGCACAAAATGTTGAGAGTCATAGTATAACATATGTAATATTTTTATCTCACGACCGTCCCAACTAGTCAGTTTTTCTACTCAGGGTCTGGTAATGTAAATTTCATTTAAATTGGTTCAGTGGTTTTGGCGTGAAAGTAAAACAGATAGACAGACAGTTATTTTCGGATTTATAATATTATTACTTTGATTAAATAAGAATGTTAAAAGTGTATAAATTTATGTGAATTTAGTGGACATTGTATTTAAAAAGTAAATATATATATTAAAAAATTAAAAACCTAATTGGGCTCCAAAAATTACGGGTCTATAGGTTGCCTAGACCTTAGTCCACCCCTGCACGCGAGCAAAGGTGGAACGGCGAGTACGTAGGTATGCCAGATGACCCGGCAACCGTTATTTTGCCATATAAATTAATATCGCTATTAAAAAACAGGGATTGGCGATAGAAGAGTGAATATAACATTACAACACAACACAACATAATGAATAATGAATAAAATTTTGTCGAAAAAATGAAAATAAATTTTTCGAGTGAGCCACTCTTACTTACTTAACACTTAGTAATAAAATTAAAAAAAATAGTTATAAATCTATTCTCAGACCTACTGAATATACATATAAAATTTCATCAAAATCGGTCAAGCCGTTTCGGAGAAGTATAAACCTGTGACACGAGAATCTTATATATTAGATGATAAATCCTTACCGATCCGGCCGGTCGGACTCCGGTTTCTCCATGTAGTATCTAATGAAGGCACGCTCGGCCGCGTCTCTCTCTTCCACCGGCACCGCGCCCCCACCGTTCAGGGTCCTCACATGGGGCAGCCGCGCCACGAGCAGTAACCGCCTCTCATGCTCCGTTGACTCGAACCGCTCCCATAGTGGCCAACCCTGGAAGGACACAGTATATTTAAATAAAAAAAAAACATCACATAGTGTATTCACACATCGCAGGAAAATATTATTGGGAGATTTAAACGTTTTATATTTAACAAGCTGCGCCCGCGACTTCGTCCGCGTAAAATGACGATACTTCTATATAACCTTTCAACCCCTTGCAACCCTTGTTTAGCATTAAAAAGTAGCCTATGTGCTTTGTCAGGGTCTAGACTGTGTACCAAATTTCATTTAAATCGGTTCAGTGGTTTCGTCGTGAAAGCGAGACAGACAGACAGACAGACAGAGTTACTCTCGCATTTATAATATTAGTAAGGATTAATATGAGTTCAATTACTTACAATTTATATTACATTATTTTGTTTAAGTCTGCTATCATTAGCAGGTGTGAGACCATACATACTGATTGCGGAAATTACTACTAGTAGAAGCATTACGACTTTATCTACTAGTGATCAAATTCCGACTGTTATTGAATCTAGACCCATATTGTGACACGTGCTTCGTCTCTGGATGAGGCATCACCAGGCAATCATAGAGCTCGGATATAGCTTGGAAGCCTAGTGTTACTTTTCAGTAACTACTACACCATAGACGATTAATGTTTTTTACTAAAGTTTGGTAGTATTTTTTAAACTTTTACAGTACATTATACTTTACAGGCTGTGACCGCGGTTTCACTCATATGAAAATTGTAGCCTATGTTTTATACTGATATATAAGCTAATATTATTGTAGTTTCATTAAAATCAGTTTAGTAGCTTTTGAGTGAAAGAGTAACAAACATCCATACATCCATACATCCATCCATATTCACAAACATTTGCGTTTATAATATTAGTAAGATTTAAAATTTAATGTTATTGTAAATTTTTTTTTTAATTTCTTTTTAAATTTAGGGACTTTTGTACCATCTAAGTACATGTCAGTCCCATTGTACCCTAAAATCAATCACTCCATTACCTCACCAGTGAACAAATTGCCTTAGCCGCACCGCCCGATTATTGTAAATTGTAAATGTTTTGCTTTGCTACGAAGGTAAATAAAGACGTGTAAGAAGTCACGGGCATTGCTGTTAATTTAATTATGGGAAAATTGTGAGAAATTAGGTTGTGTCTATCAAAAGCACATGTGCACAGTTTAGACAATGTAAATAAATATGGAACTTCACATGGACTGGGCAGATACCGGACTCGTTGCATTTTCAGCGGACTTCGTGAAAAATTCAAACAGTTGTGAAAATAAATTGTACACATATTTTTAACGCCTGATATTCAGAAACGATCGAAATGTAAACATAGTTGTTATTTAGTGCACACACCATGTTTCCATAAAAATTCTGTAATGGATTACGTAAAAAATAATGGATTTCAATTTATTTTTATCGTTTTGTAACTATCTTCTTATACGGCTTTGGTGGTCTAGCTGTTTAGAATACATCCTTTCTTCCGATGGTCACGGGTTCAATTCCACGCATAGTACAAACCTATGTATGCATGAGTCATCATTGTTTGTATTGGTCTGGGTATTTTCTTTGTATTTATGTATTTACAAAATATATATTAATATCACTCTATCTTAATGTTAAATGTAATTAAGATCCGTTTAGATATGAAAATGCATCGAACAGACAATCACGCATACTTTTGTATATGTATATAAAAATGAATCTCTATTTCTCTTCGGCACGGCATCACGCGAGAAGACTAAACCGGTATAGGTAATTCTTTTTTGTTATGTTTTTTCTTTGTCATATGAAAATTCTTATGAGAATACAAACATGGAGATCCAGTGTTTAAAGATCAGGGATGCTGCATAAGAAGAGTCAGATGTAAAATTCTTTGTATCTCTCTGAATAGTTCACTAGTACAGGTTTCACGAGCGATGATTTATATGTGCGACATGGTAGCTAGGAAGTGGTTTAGAGAAGTAACAATGAAATTTCAGTCTTATGCAAACGCGTTATAGATTGAAATGTAACGATACTATGTATTTCGTATTTCTTTGTTCAAGCCACGAAGGATCACGTCGCGTGTGCTCAAACGAGTATCGTCTGGTTTTGCCTAAAAACGGAAGGCGGAACATTTAAATGCAAATTAATATATATTATGTTTCTTATTTTCAATAATAATCGATTTTCGCAATTCTGTGTTTATATGGCTAAAACCTATTTCTATTTGACGTCTAGGATATCACCTATCAGTGTAACAAATTCCATCCCAATTAATCTAGTTATTTAAGTGTGATAGAGTAAAGATCAAACTCAAAGATATTTTGACATTTTTTAAGTGAACTTCTATATAGACCGAATAACCGACTGTTTAGTATTTCAGTTACATAAAGTCCCGACGACCCAATAACGGCAGTCTCCCTACGGGTCCACCCGTCCCATCCCGACCATACTTTCACACATACACACGACACCGTCCTCGCCGGCGAAGACGACGACTTCAACTATACCGTGCAATCAACTGGGCACCCGGGCGCTCCAAACTGGTGCCCCCGGCCGCCCCTTCGATTCACCCCCGTCCAATTCAAACAGGGATCGTAATTAGGACGGTTTGAGCTGAGGTTCGAACCCTAGTGGTACCCTCAGACTAAATTCGTATCCGTCAGACGGGAGTTGGCCTTCAGCCGCTCCATAAATCCTTCACTATCACAATCCACTCGCCCCTTATCATCCGGTGAAGCTGTAAAGGCCAGCTGCGGCCAACAGCATTAGAGTAGCCAGAAAATAGTTACATTAAAAAAAATTAACATAGACATATCAGTGTGTGCAGTAATTAACCGTTAAAACGACGTATGACGTATAATTGAATGCAGGTGTAGTATTTCGGTTTCGTCCCACTCAGTACCGGCTCCGTTCTGAATCAGTGCGTCCTATCGATTACAGCGTTTGTATGCATTGGTGACCGTATATATTTCGGTTGGGTACCATATGCTAATATTATTATTATATATAGGAAATAACTGTGCCCGCAGTTTCACCAGCGTGAAATTTACAGCCTATATCTTATTCTGCTGTATAAGCTATATTACTGTAAAGTTTCATCAAAATCCGTTCAGTAGTTTTTGAGTGAAAGAGTAAAAACAGCCATCCATACTCACAAACTTTCGCGTTTATAATATTAATAAGATTTATGGTGTAACTGTTTACTGCGATTTCGTCCGTTTTTTAACTTATTTATTCATTAAAATTAATATAACTTTGAAAATAAAAATAGCCTATGTTACTTTTTATAACATTAAATATTTCCGAATGGAAGTCCATCAAAATCAGTCCAGTCGTTTCAGAGATTAGTAAGACTGTTCTTGCTAATCTCTGAAACGACTGGACTGATTTTGACAGACAGACAGACAAAAATTTTTTATGTATATTTTGCTAAATGCGTATGAAAGTCTCACTCTAGCTAATGTTATAAGAAGTAACTTAGGTTACTTTTAATTTAAAAATCTTATTTAATTTAATTCCACGCAGGCGAAGTCGCGAGTAATGTCTTTTTTTTTATCTATGCCACGATGTGTAATACAAATTTATGTGAAATCGTCTTTAAAATGAAAGCATCAAAGTCATATATCCATTTTTCTTAATGCAATGGAGTTTATTAATTTTCTTTAACGTTATAAAAAATATAAATCTGACCGTTGATGGTGACTCGTATGTGGGCGGAGGTACAAAAACATTGTTCATCGCCACGTGAATCATAACGCCAGTAAACTGGTTGACTGTTGCTGTCACCCCACGCAGGTAATGTGTTATACCGACTTCAAAATGAAGCAATTTGATTGTTAATGTTGTTTTTTATTGTAGTACAGTTTATTAATGAAATAATAAGTCGACATATTGATGAATAAATTACTTTCTTAATAATTATAATTAACAGTAAATTTTCTATTAAACAACTACTTCTTTGTTTCATTAACCCTCTTGCGTTTTTCTATCTCTCCAGTTATGCGTTTTTACTGACAATTTGGTGATAAATAGATAGCGTATATTTTGAAGAACATACTATTTGTAATATAGTAAAGTAGATACAAATATTGTATTATAGACTTACATTTACAATAAGGTGGCCTTACCGTCGAAAGCAATCTATTCAAGGCAAGTTTAGGGAAACTAATAAAAGTAACAAGTAGGTAGATTACTTACAAAAAAGGAGACAAAGATAATCACATAGCAATGAAGGAAAATAATGTTAAGAATAACAAGAAACAGATATGTATAGTAATAATAATAATTTAAACTAGATACATATAAATGGATCTTTACAGATAAAAATTACGTGTCACGTTGTTTGTCCGGAATGGACTCCTAAACTACTGAACCGATTGCAAATTTAATTTGCACATTGTGTGCAATTTGATCCAACTTGAAAGATAGGATAGCTTACATTATAGGATAAGATAGCTTCAATTTACAGTTGCAATATTATTTGACCTTAGCCACAGCAACGCGTGGCCGAGTGTGTATATACATATATATTATAAACTATTTATATAATTATAAATTAAGCTAAATATAAATTTATATTTGATATGAATTAGACGTCAAAATATGAAGTGCAGAATGCAATGTAATAGTTCCCTTCACTTTAATGCGCTTGCGCAATTGCACCAGATATACTATATTTTCAATGACATGTAACTCTTCAGAACGGTAGCATCCAGTGCGATAAATAATTCAAAATTTCAAATTTTTCAAGAACTGACAAGAAACATAGCTCTATTCATTTCAAATGTTATACATGTTTACAATAATACAGATTTATTATACACATATTCAAATTTAGGAGATTAGAGAGTAATTCAAAGTTTACCTAAGAATGTCGCCTTAGGAATGGATGAAAATTGACGTAAAATTGCAAAATAATTTTATACAATTAACTATTATGAAACTGCGTCCAAGTAATTCTATGTTAAGTAACATAGAGACGCGAATTGAAGTTGTAAAGAGTATATTGCTGGACAATTTAATTACTGAGCATTATGTTACA